GTGGCTCGAGTCTCTCGTGAGGCTGTTTAGGGCACAGGACACGGACTATATCATTCCAGGTATTCCCGCTCTCGCACTGTTGCTGTCCGTCTTATTGTGTCATTACATTTCATCAACGTATGGTGTACGCACTTGCCAGCCTTTCAAAAACCCCCTCTCTCTCCCTTCCGCATTATTTGGCAGGGGTCGACAAGCGGCGTGCGATCAAGGAGCTGCGGGCCTTCTGCCCCATCCTCGCAGGTGCCCCGAAGAACGAGCGGAGCTTCCACGCAGGCCTAACAGCAATGCTGAAGACAAGCGACTGGGCGACTGGCTACCCCAATCTGGTGCGTCTCTGGGTGGCTGTCGCCGTGCTGCCGCTGAGCACAGTGGAGTGTGAGCGCGGCTTCTCACGCCAAAACGTTATCAAATCATGGCAGCGGGGGAGCTTGAAGGACGCCCGCCTCGAAGACCTCGTCACCATGTCTCTACTCGAGTACGAGCCCAACTACGATGAGGTGGTGCAGATCTGGCGCAGCTACAAGAAGCGCCGCCCATTCGGCAATGTGGCGGCACCACCCGAAAGAGAGGGAGAGGGCAGGGATAGCACGGGAAAGGAGGCCCTAGAGGAGGAAGAGTGGGCACAACGACAGGCTAAGGGAAGAGAAGATGATGATGACAAGCAGGCCTCATCAGATGATGATTACTGAACTCACCCAGACCCAGAGTCATGCTGTATGCAATGCATAGCTAGCTAGCAAGCAAGATAGGCTTTGGTTTACAATAGATAGATTGAAGGTTGTTTGCGACCTTCATAGAGTTTTAAGTTAAAAAAATCAGCTTCACTACTATCAGCCTTTTTCTATAGGTGACCCTGATGCATCAGACTTTTTTTTAAAGTAACACTGAACTTTCAGGCTTTTTTCCTAGGCGACCCTGTCGATCAGGGTCTAGGGCCAGAGGGACCCTGATACCCTTACGTGCCTCAAAGTGAATCTGAGGGTCTGCGTAGGAACACGGCCTGATGATAAGGGTTGCTTAAAACCAAAAACTAGCCCTGGAGGTAGCATTGTATAGCACCAGTATAGGAAATGAAGCATGCATTCTCTATATTGGATAACCATGATCACTCGTTCTTGCTTCTCTTCCACGCACTGTTCAGCATTGTTGCAGGTCTGTGCACTCACACAGGTGCTCTTCAAAACAAAGAAAAACGCACATTTTTTTCGTTTGCGCACCATAAACGATGATAACTCTGCACCAGTTTTAGAAAATGAAGCAGGTAGTTTTTGGTCGAATGTTACTAAGACCACTCGTTATGCTTTGCTCCAACACACTTTTGAGCATAGTTGCAGGTCTATGCACTCACAAATGTGCTATTCAAAGCAAAGAAAAAACACTCATTGTGGACGTTTATTACATGCGGAATGATTTGCACATGTGTAGAAAATGAAGCAGGCAGGGCTGAGGTTTCAAATTTAGGTACCCTGATGTCCACCTAAAAAAAAAAAAAATTAACCCTGAAGGCATATTTTCCAGAAAAGCAGCACCCTGATTGCTCAGTGTTGGGAAGTTATACAGTCTGAGTGTTCAGGGTCGAGAAGTCACGATCAGGGTACGTGTAGTAACGCGCTGTGCATTATCGAAACTGAACTTTGATGGCGAATCTGTTCTGTGAAAGGGCGAATGTGCAATGTCAGATGGCGTTCCTGAGATGGGGCCCCATCCGAACTTCCCCCAGCAATAGTGCACAGAACACGTGCCTAAGGCATGGCAGCAACGGGGGGAGTGAATCTGGACGTCGCATGAGTTGGGCGGTGAGGGTCGTGCGATTTTTGCGCATGGCAACTTCCCCTGACGCCCAACGTCAGAACCACTGACGTTTTTGACTGTCACAGGACCGAGTCGTGACTGGGTTTGGCATGTTCAGAAAGGTCAAAGAATAACGTGACAAATGGAAAAGGAAAAACAGGCGCCAATCCAACAGCAGAAAGCAATTTCGTTTCACGGTCACCACACAGCAATCTGTTTTTTCATCGGGTTCCCCCCAGACTGTTTTCGACCGTGTTATGGGAGATTGTGGCCATTTGGAATTGGCGCATGAACGTTGAATACAGATGCATGTGATTGGTTGGAAGTTTTCTCACTTGTTTTTCGCGCACAATGAGACTGACATCGCATGGCACGTGTGGTGGGTGTGCAAAATACCCAGGACTGCCACGCTGGACCAATAGTGCAGCACTCCGAACTTCCCCCATCTCAGGAACGCCATCTCAGATGGCGTTCCTGAGATGGGGCCCCATTCGGCCCCATCCGACGTGGCCCCAAGCAACAGTGCACGAAACACGTGCCCGTGGCATGGCAGCAAGGTGGGGGGTGAATGTGGACGTCGCATGAGTGGGCAGCCGAGGGTCGTGCAAAATTGCCTCACGTTAACTTTCATTGCCTCCGAACGTCAGAACGAGTCAAGCTAGACTGTCGCGTAACCAAAAAAAATGAAAATCATCTATCGGTTCCCACCCAGTGTGTTCTGGACCATGGGAGTATGTGGCTGTCTGAACGACAGCCGTTTTTTACTGTCACGGAACCCAGTCGTGACTGGACTGGAATCGGACCACACTTGCGAGACTGGGTTGGAACGTTTAAACTTGTCACATGAACGTTAATGTCGAGAGTCTAAGTAATTTAAGAGTAGAAACGGGGGCCTAGGCTTAGTAGCCTAGGCCCTAACTTAGGTATCGAGCGGGTTTTCCCCTAGGAGCAATGTCGAGTGAGTTGAGAGGGAAATTGGTGAAAAGGTGGTTTCACTATAGGTTCAGGGGTACATATAGCATAGAAACAAAATAAGGTGCACCACCAACAAAAGTTTACATAACTACACTAACTACAACTACAAGCAATTATAAAACATGACAAAATATTTCGACACGCCCCCATAATGCTTGTAGGTAGGTATGTAGTTACAGCAACAGCAGGTACCCCTACCATCTCCTCACCCTCCTCCTTCCCCTCCCCCACACTGCTGCAGAAGCAGCAGAGAAAGGGGGAAGAGAGGAGAGGTGGAGGGACGGCTGCTTGTTGCCTCACACCCGCCACCCCGGTACCACTCCCCCTCCTCACCCACATCCTCACACCCTCCTCCCCCAGCGGCAGCTGCAGCGGTGGGACTGAAAGAAGGAGGAGGGAAAGGGAGAGAGTTGACCCCACGCTCCAACACCCTCCACCCCCATACCCTCCTCCCCACGGCTGCAGGGAGACAAGAGAAAGGGGGGGGTGGGAAGGAAGAAAGCCGCAGAGCGGCGAAGAGGCGTCGGTGCAGATGGGTCAGGGGCGGCAGCAGGGAGTGCAGGGGCGGAAAGGCCCGTCGCGGGCCAGTGCCACGGGGCGCACGACGGGTAGCATAAAAGGGCCCGATCGTGTGCCTCGGGGCACACGACGAGCAGGGCACCATCGTGTGCCACGGGGCGCACGATGGGCAGTAGAAGGGCACCGTCGCGTGCCACGGGGCGCGCGACGGGCAGGGAAGGAGTCACACGCCCGTGGGCGGGACAATGTAAAAATAAAGTCGTCACGCGCCCTAGGCGCGCGACCGGAAAACCTTAGCAGCGGAAGTGTAAAGTGGGCCCACAGGCCAGGACGAACCTAGCTCCGATAACATGTCGAGAGTCTAAGTAATTTAAGAGTAGAAACGGGGGCCTAGGCTTAGTAGCCTAGGCCCTAACTTAGGTATCGAGCGGGTTTTCCCCTAGGAGCAATGTCGAGTGAGTTGAGAGGGAAATTGGTGAAAAGGTGGTTTCACTATAGGTTCAGGGGTACATATAGCATAGAAACAAAATAAGGTGCACCACCAACAAAAGTTTACATAACTACACTAACTACAACTACAAGCAATTATAAAACATGACAAAATATTTCGACAGTTAATACAAAAGCTTGTGATTCGTTGATCCAAATATTTCATGGTTTTCGCCCCAGGCGACTCCCGTCGCCAGGCACATGTGGTGGTGTGACCAGAATCAAATTCTGCCACGGTGGACCAATGTTGTTGCACCGACCATGACAATTGATGGGGCCCCATCTCAGGAACGCCATCTCAGATACATTTTACTGTGATTGGTCAAGACCTTTGTGCTCTGACAGCTCAAATCTGCTGTGTCAGGGCTCTGACACCTCGGAGGTGGGTGTATCGAAAGGAAATTTCGAGGAAGCTTCCTCCCGATAAACTTGCATGCACGGACCACAGAACGCATACTCTGTAGTGACAGACTCCAGAAATGACTAACACTGAGGCCTATTACACTGAATCAGGGGCCATAAAACAATAACTCTGAGGCTCTCAGTGATGAAACTTGACTACTCTGGAATTCCATTTTTCACAAACTCGATGGTCTGATCCGTCAGACTAATCAGACTATTTACTCTGATAGCGTCAGCCTTGGAAGCAGGGTGCTTCTTGCCGTTGGTACCCATGACCAATCGTGATTGCCTCACTCCCAGGCACTTTCCAACATAATTTCCCGTCCATGCCATGCACTCACAAACATGCTCTTTGCTTAAAAATAGAAACGATAGTTCTGGGCGTTTGTAGCCCCAAAATGCGGGTAGATTTGCAGAGGTGTAGAAAATGAAGCAACATTTTCTCCATCGAACATATGATTTTTTCAGCCTTCTCAAATGTTTTTTTTTAATTTATGGTGCAAAATTGCACCGTTTGGCTGTTTTTGAACGTGGTTGTACTGTATTACTGTTTTTTTTCAGTCTACATTAAAGCTAAGCTTGGAGCCTGATATAGAGTCAAAACATAAACAGAAATAGTTACCATGGAATCGTCGGGAGTCGTCCTTCGTGAATACTTTGTGGAATCGTCTGGGGTCGTCCTTCGTGAATACTTCGAGAAGATAATTTGGATATCGTGTTTCCTTGTTCGACACCATCCGTTACGTCGACAGCCCGTGTCGCCCTGTACACTGCTTCACAGCGGGAATCGCCCCGCCCTCACTGTCAGGCCGTCTACCTGAGCCATGCGGAATGCCGCAGGTGATGTGGATCGCAACAGCAGCGGCGGACTGCAGGTCATCGCGGGGTCGTACGAGCGCTTTCTCTTCGGCTTCCGCCTCCACCTCCCCACCTACCCGTACGCCGCGCCCCGCCTTTCGCCCCAACCGCGGCTGGTTCTCTATCTTTCCCCCCGAGCTAACGGCCCCACCCCTACCTGTGCCGATTCGTTTCCGCCTAAGCCCCGCATGTGCAATCCATGTTTTGCCCACTCCACCCGCCTTTTCCCGCAATCCCTGCTAGTCCCTTGCGCCCTCCCTCACGCGCGCTTGCGCTCTCGTTTCTCGTCCCCCCGTCAGGCTGGGCGCATCGCAACCAGCAGCGCGCGGCGGGGAGGGAGGGGAGAGGGGAGAAGGTATGGGGGAGGAGAGGAAGCAGGAGGGGCAAGGCGAGGGGGCCGGGGAGGCGGCGTTGCGGCAGCAGTTCTGCTACGGGGGGCACACGGGGCCCATCAAGTGCGTGGCGGCGGCGGGGGGGGTGGCGGTGAGCGGGGGGGCGGACGACAGCGTGCGCGTGTATGACCTGCGCGCGCGCACCGACATGGGCGCGCTGCTGCACCACTCCGCCGCTGTTTCGTGCCTCGCTGTGAGTGCCGCCGTCTCGTGCCTCGCTGTGATTGTTAGCCGCAGCGCCCCTCCACTCGTGGCTGCCCTCTCGTTGCCTCCAAGCCTCCCCACTGTGTGCCGTCATGCGTCCGTGCCGCCACCCGTCCCACCGCCTGCAGTTGCACGGCAGTGGGAGTCGCCCCACTCACCTGCTCGCAGGCAGTGAAGACCGCACCATCAGCCTATGGGAGGTCGCCACGTGGCGGCATCTATCAAGCCTCAAAGGTCACAAGGCGCCTGTGAATGACATCGCAGGTGCGTGCTGGTAGTTGCTGGGGCTGCTGTGGGTTGCTATAGGTTGCTGTGGTTCGTTTTGGGTTGATGTGGTTGTTGTGATGTGCGCTCCCTCTTGCTCCCCCTCCTCCCATTTCCTACTTCGCCTCTCCCTGTCTCCTCCCCGTCCCTCCTTTCCCCCCCTTCGTGCATGGGGGCAGTGCATCCATCGGGGCGGGTGGCGCTGTCAGTGGCGAGGGACGCGGAGCTGCGCCTGTGGAACCTGCTGCAGGCGCGCTGCTCCTTCCGCACGCGCCTGCCCGCCCAGCCCCTCGCCCTCACCTACTCGCCCGGGGACGCTGCCTGCTACGCGCTGGCCCTCAGGGGCGGTGCCGTGGCCGTGCACTGCTCTGCTGATGCCTCGCTCACCGCCACGCTGCCTCACCCCGCCTCCTGCCTCGCCCTCTCCTTCCTCTCCGTCAGCCTGCTCCCTGCTCTGCCTCTCCCTTGCTGCATTGCATTGCTTTCTGCTCATTCCTCCCCCCTTGTTCCCTGTAATGTAATGCCCTGCCCGTCTCGTCACCTTTTTCTCATCTCTCGCTCTGCATGGGTGTGTCCATTTCCCTTTTTATCACCCAACCAATGTCCTGTGCTTCACCCCATGTCCCGTGCATGACCCTAAGTCCTGTGCGGTGTGACCTGCCCTGTGCTATGCCCCCTGCAGCCACACGCAGTGGTGACGGGCGGCGAGGAGAGGGCAGTGAAGGTGTGGGATGTGCGCCAGCCACCGCTGCACCCCGCTGTGTGCGTGGCGGGCGCTCACAGCGCTCGCATCCGCGGCGTGCTGGGGGCGCTGGCAGCTCGACAAGGGGGCGCAGGGGGGGTTGGGGGTGAGGGGAACGAGCTGGCTGCCGCAGCCAAGGCAGGTCTGACCGCTTGGCGCAGTGAGGGGGGAGGGGGTGGGGTTGGGGAGGACGGGGAGGGCGAGGAGGAAGGGGCAGACAGTGGGGAAGGTGAGGAAGGAGGTGGTAAGCATGGCAAGGATCAAGGGGGTGTGGGGAGGAAAAGGATGAAGAGGGAGAACAAAGGCGGCAGTGGTGATGCAGCAGCAGCAGCGCGATGGAATGAGTATGTGATTGTATCAGCAGCATCGGATGGGTGCATCCGCCTGTGGGACCTGCGCTCCCTCTCCTCGTCCACACACACACCTGCCACTGCACCCACCGCACCCACCGCACTCCCCCCTGGATGCCTCTCCCAGGTGCTCACCAATGCGCGCCTCACATGCCTTGCCCTCTCCGACCTCTCACCCCACTCCACAGCACCACTGCGTGCTGGCAAGAGGGCGGGTGGTGTGGAGGGTGGTGCAGAGGCGAGAAAGAGGAGCAAGCGTGGGAAGGCGTGAGCCAGAGTATGGATGTCTGGAGCTGCTGTGCTGTGTACACAAGGCTTTGTGGCTTGGCCCACCACAGCATTCCATTGCCATAGGATTGTAGACACAGACAGGTGCTAGAATGTATTTCTCTTTTTCATTATTCTAAGTTGGATGAATAGTGACCTGCAATTTAGCCTGCACAAGAGGGCCCTAGGCAATTTAACAAGGCCCGATCCAACAGCAGATATATAGGCGATGCACAAGGCAAGGTGGGGCTTCATAATCACGTTCAGTGGAACGTTTGGCAGGAAGGTGGCGGCAAGGACAGGGTGGGTGGTTGGTTGGGTGGGTGCAGTGCAGTGCAGCCCTCACACAGAGCCGTTGCGCGGGTCTGGTTGGTCGGCATCTTCTGTCTTCACCTCGTTGAACACCAATGATAGCTGATGGGGATGGTGATAGTGGATGCACACAGGGGTTGGGAGAGGAGGGACACGGAATATACAGAGGGAGGTGAGGGTGAGTGCGTTTGGAACAGAGGAGACTGTGAGGCAACCTGCCCACGCTGACAACACACCACCATCCCTACCACCACAGCCAACCTACAAACCACACCCAACCTCCCTGCACCATACCCTTTCTCCCTCCCCACCCCTCCCATCCCCCCATTCCCCCCTGCAGGGCAGAGCACCTGGGAGCCGTCGCGGGTGATGGTGGCCTTGCCATCGCGGGCATGCCCCGGGGAGAGTATGTGGTGTGAGCGGCGCCGCGCCTCCAGGTACTTCTCCACCGCGTACCACCCGATGCCCGCACTGTTCACCAGCAGCCCCACCACGTTCGTCACGCTCATCTGCCGGTGGCATGGGGAGTTGCGGGGGAGGTGGAGAGGGGAGAGGGGGAGGTGGAAGGGGGTTGGGAGAGGAGGGGGAAGAGAAGTGCAGTGTGTGGAGGGCAGAAGGCAGTGGTGGGTGGAAGCGATGCAGCAAGTGGGGCATGAGATGAGATAAGGTAGGTGCATGCAGGGGCGTGGGAACTGGGGGTTGGAGGTGGCACAGAGCAGGAAGGCAGAGGCATGGGGCGGGGCAGCAGGGCACTCACGAGCACATCACCGAAGGCAAAGAGGCCGCCCAGGCCCTGCAGGATGGACTTGGTGCGCCCTGCATGCATGCAGGCAGGGGGTGGGGCGAGAGATATGGGGTGAGGTGAGACGCAGCACTGCAAGACGTGCAAATGCTCATGGCTCTCCATGGCAGGAACAATTGTGGCAAGAGTCCGGAGTAGGCACGCAGAGCAGGGAGGGCGGGCGAGGGGGCGGGGCACTGACCGACGATGCTGGTGGTGAGGCTGTCGTTGACGAGCGTGCAGAGGTACGTGGCGAGGTTGAGCACAAACGCAGACGCGCACGACAGCAGGAAGCACGTGAGGAACATGGCGTCGCGTGACTGCAGCACTCGCTGCACAGCGGGCAGCTCGCCGTTGAGGGCGAGCAGCAGGAAGGAGAAGGGCAGCGACCAGCAGTTGTTGTACAGCAGCAGCGTGAACGAGTCCAGCTGCAGCTCCTCGCCCAGCTTCCCCACTATCACCACGTACGCCGCTGTCGCCAGTGCCGATGACAGCGCGAGCACGTACCCCGGCAGGTCGAAGGTCAGGTCGCCCGCGCCCGCTATGACGCCCCCCAGCGCGGTCATGTACACAGAGAGCTGCACGCGCAGGGAGGCGCGCTTGGCGCGCAGCAGGTAGTCGAGGAGCAGCACGAAGGGCGTGGTGGCGGACTTGAGCACCCCGTACATCGGGATGTTCACCCGGGAGAGGGCTGCCATGTCCAGGAGCAGCTTCAGCAGAAAGGCGAACGACAGCAGCGCCACCTGCAGGGATGGGGGAAAGAGGGAGGGGGGGTATGGTGTGAGGGGGTGAGGTGAGAGACGGGGCGTGGGACTGTGACGTGGTGACATGGCAGGGCAGGGCAGGGCAGGGCAGGGCAGGGCAGCCTCACGACCGCTAGTGGTGCAGCACACCACACTCAAACCTCCATCCATTCCCCCCGCTCTCATTTCCATCCACTCCCTCTTTCATCCACTCCCTTCCCTCTTCAACTCCTCCTCCCCTCTACTCCCCCTTCCCTCTGCACCCTCTCACATCTCCCTCTGTTGCCCAGAACCCCGAACACCCGGCCCATGCCCATGGGCCGCCCGTGGGCAAGGGCCGCCCGTGGGCAAGGGCCGCCTGTGGGCAAGGGCTGTGGGCAGGGGGCAGAGGGTGTACCCGGCGCAGGACGGAGAGGCGGAAGGGGGCGAGGCGGATGGCGCGGGAGAGGCGCATGGCGGCGAGCAGCAGCAGCGTGAAGAGCGTCTGGAAGAAGACGAGCGTGTAGGGGAAGGTGAAGCGGTACACGCGGAATATCGCCTTGTTCACAAACACCGCCGCCACCGACATGCCGCCTAGCGGGGGGGGGAGGGAGGGGGGATTGCGGGGATAGAGAGAGGTGAGTGAGGGGAGTGGGAGGGGTGAGTGAGAGGAGTGGGAGGGGTGAACTGAGGAAGTGAGAGGGGAGGGTGGGGGGGATCGAGGGGCAAGGAGTGGGCACGCACAGAGGGGGGAAGGCACCAAGGTTGCAGGGCATGGCAGAGCGGAGCGCAGCCTCTTTGCGACTGCTGCTGGCCCGCCCTACGCGGCTTGACGCACCGTAGAAGACGGCGACGAGGAGCCCCTTGTAGTTCATTGCGGCCGCGTCTCGCTACCACCACCACCACCACCGGATTTCAGCTATCGCCTTCGACTCGCTGCCTCCCGCCTCGCTACTCCGCCTCCTCCTCCCCCTTCCACCGCCTTTGTCGCCGCAATTCCTCCCTCCCTTTCTCGCCCGCCCCTCCTCTCCCTCCCTCTACCTTTTATTCTATGTCTCTTCCCTTCCAGTTCTCTATGCCCCTCTCTCTCGATCCTCCACCACCCAGCACCGATCTACACCGGGGCAGTGACTCCTCTACAAGATCCCCAATCTTTCGCGGCCTAACCTGCCCCGCGGCGCGCTGTTCGCGGAACGGCGCGCTCCGCTAGTGAATTATGGTGTTTGGCTGTTCTCTGCGTTATGCACCAATACGGCGCGGGCTCGCCGGTCGAGGCATTGTGAGCGGCGTGCGCGACGGCGGGAGGATCTGAGAGGAAGGCGATGCGCTTGCGCCAGTGGCCGCGTGCGCGCGCGTCAGGCGAGGCCGAGAGCGGGTGTATGGTGAGCAGTGAGCGGGTGGTGCTGGCACTCAATTCCGGATCTGGTAACACAGAACGAGGTCGAACTCTTGAGCGAGCAGGCTAGCTTTGGAGCCTATTGTGCCAATTCAAGAGGCTCGTCGTGACTAGCGAGTGTTGATCACAGCCACTGCCACCAGCCACTCGCGCAAGGTGCAACCTCTGCACCTTCCAGTGGTGCGAAACGCACGTTGGTTGGTGGGTGGAGAGACATAACGTTGATTACTCGTTAATGAGTGTCTACACTTCGAAGTTTTCATCAAAAGTTCAAAACAAGTACCGTACATCGCCTCACGAGTGCTAAGCTAATATGAAGCCACCTAAAACTTTTTTAATTTTATTGCACACTAACCATCTGGGCAAGCCGTAGAATTTCCCAAGGCTCATTGCCTAAAGCTACTTGCCGAAGCCGTACCGCCTGAGTGTCAGCTGTTGGCTGAACAGTAAAGCTACCGTAATTGCCGAAGCCGTAACCCCTGAGTGTCAGCTTGTGGAGACGTGCTGGCTGAACAGTTCAGCTAACCCCACTCCTGCCAGCAACGAGCATCACTGTGCTGCATTCAAGGGTTGTGAGCATAACCGTCTCCCAAAGGGCTTATTGTTTCATAGAGTATTGTGGGTGTGTGTGCCGGTTGCACCATGGAGGCAGGCTCAGGTGTGTAGGTGGCATCAAAGGGCGTCCCCATAGCGCATGCGAGGGCGAGTGCGCATGAGGTCCCCCTGCAGTGTGACCACGCGCTGTTGTGCTTGCGGTGGGGGTGCTCCCGCTGCTTGCCTTGGCGCTGCTGACTGCAGCAGCAGAGGCGGCAGATGCAGACGAAACTCGGCACCCTGCTTAGGGATGACTGGGGGGTGGGATGGGGAGCATGGGGAGCATGGGGCGGTAATGAGGGGGTTGGAGTATTACTGGGGCATTTCAAGGAGGGCGAGGGAGAAGCATGGGTGGCATATAATGAAACATCACATTAAGTTGCATGGCATGGCATTGCACGGCACGAGATGGCATGGCACGGCATGGCATGGCACGGCAGGGCATGGCATGGCACGGCAGGGCATGGCATGGCACGGACATGTGGAGAGCATGTACCTTTGAGGCGATCATCGTTTGTGAGGAGGTGGAATGCTGACGTGGACTCTGCCAGCACCATGCCGCCCACCCCCACATGGCCTGAGGAGGCTGCACGTGCCACTGGGAGGGCGAGCAGAGGGGAGGGATGCAAGTGAGAGGAGAAAGGGAGATGCAACTATGGGCGCCGCGCTCCTGGCAGCAGTGACATGCAGGAGTGAATGGAAGAGTGGGCGGTCATTTCTCCGCCATGCGTTTGCTGCAGCCCACCCCTGTGCAGCACACAGAGGCGACCTTTCCACTGACTGCCCCTCCTTCACTTCACCCACCCGCCCCACCCCATTCCCTCACCTGTGAGCATGGCGCCGTGGAGGTCCATCGCTGCCACCCATGCACCCATACGCCTGCAGCAGGGAGGATATGGGGGGGAATCGAATGGGAGGACATGGGGAGATTGAACAGAGGGGGATGAAAAGAAGAAGAGCCTAGGGATGCGGGGGAGCGGGGGAGAGGGGCACAGCAGTCAGTGCATGCAAGTGGAGGGCAATTGGGTGTGTTGATGGGTGGGAGTGTGGTGCGGGGAGGTGCGAGAAGCGGGCAAAATGGGAGCAGACAAGCGCAACAGGAAGCAGAAGAGGGTAATACGGAAGAGAGGGAGGGAGTTGGGCAATGAATGCACCGGAAGGGAGCCAGCCCGCATACGCACTCACTCAGAGGCGGAGGCAGCCGGCGGGCCGGGCGTTGGTGTTTGTGCAGCGGCAGAGCGGCAGAGCGCAGCAGCATAGTCGCTCCATGCTGCTGCCAGGGGCGCCATGCGGGTGAAGCTGAGGAACAGGGCGGAGGGGAGGAGGGGTGGGTTTGGGCGAAGTGAGGAAGGGGAGAGGGCAGGGACATGCATGGTGCGCACACAAACGGCACTGGACATGGCAACGCCGCCCTTCCTCCATCACCCCCTGTCCCCCCGTCTCTGCTGTCCCTTTTCCCCCTCCCCCCCCCCCCTCGCTTATCCAACCTTCTCCCCCCCACCTGCACAGCTCAGGGCGCGCCTTCAGCTCCCACACCAGCCGCTCCACTCCCCCCGCTCTGCTCCTCTGCCTGCTCCGCTTCCCCGCGTCCCGTCCCCCTGCCTCTGCCACACTCCCCCCGCGCCTCACCACGTCCTTCCCCGCACGCTTCTTCCCCCCCGGCACCTCCAGCAGCACCTCCATACGCGGAACACTGTAGCTGCTGCCGCCACCGCCGCCCACCTTGCGCCCGCCCGACGCGAGCAGCGCGCCGATGCGCGCCTCCACGCCCGCCAGCGGGTCGCTCGATGCGCCACCGCCGCTGCCTCGCGCGGGTGCCGCCTGGAATGCGGGGGACGGGGCGCGCGCGGAGTGAGGGGGCAGTGCGGATGGTGAGAGAAGTCGCGGAGCGGAAGCGGAGCAGGGGAAGGAGCGGCGCATGAGCGTCGAGTCAAGGAGGCGCGACGAAGGGTGGGGCGGAGGTCATGTGGTGAGTCGACTCACACGTCATCTCACCATGTTATCGGCGGGGCACACTGCGCGCATGACGTCCTGCTGCGCGCCACTGTTCACTTCCGCGTAAATTCGCGCCGCATCCCCGCCTCCCGCCTCCTCCCCCTTCCCCGTCTCGTTCTCCCTCCCGCGCTTCTTCGTCGCTCCGCCGTTCCCCCCATGCGCGCCCCCCCTCCGTGGTGGGGGAGGGCGCCCGCCAGTCGGCACGCGGGGGGGCTGAGAGGGAGGCATGTGGAGCGCGGAGGACGCAAGAGAACCGACTAGTCGAGTGACGGCGGAGACGATTGTTGAGATACATTTGGTCTGCCAACCACGCTGCGCATTCGCCACCTCCTGCTATGCAAGTAAAACACAATCTGCAAAAAGGAATCGTTTCGTATGTGGAATGCAACATTCGCAATCACGTTCTCCTACGTAACACTTGAGCTCGTGCGACATCATTTCGAGCTTTCGCTAACCCCCCAACCCGTCCATGTCCTCTCCCCAAAACCTCCCAGCCCAAGTCATCCAGGCGCTGGCGCATTCCCTAGCGCGCTGAATTCCCCCCCCCATTACATGGCCTCACTCGCCCGCTGCTCCCGACCCGCCCTCCGCCTTGCGCGCGTCGCTTCGCCGTGCCATTCGCCGCATTCCCTCGTCCGCCTCCTCCCCGCTCTCCGCGCGATTCTTCTCCCCCGCACCACTTCCCCCCGCCGCCCGTCGTTCGCGTGCGCCCATCGCCACGCGCGCCCCCTGTCAGGCTCCGCGTACCTCAGCACTACCAGGGGGAGCAGCGGTCAGCGGAGGGAGGGAGATCGGGGGGAGGGGCGCGCAGCTCAGGATAGGGGGAGAGAGAGAGGGGCTTGGCGGACGCGCGCGGGGCTGGTAGGATCTCGGGCGGACGATTTAACGGCGGAACCATCGAGCGCAGCAGCAAGGGCAGGCAGCATTGCGGTTGGCGGTAGAGGCAGGGAGGCGAGCGCGGGGAGCGGAAAGGGGGTGGGCGGCGGCAGAGGTAGGGAGGCCGGCAATAGTGAGGTAAGCCGCGGTAGCGGGCAGCGAAGCAGCAGCGAGCGCGGGAACAGCAGCCGACAGCAGGCCACCACCGGCGCTGCCAGTGCGGCAGCAGTGCGGAGTAATCTCCCTACCTCCAAGGATCGCAGCGGCGGCAGCAGCGGCAAGGGCGAAATGCCGAAGCGCAAGCGCGGGTACACGGCGGAGGAGGAGGCGAAGCGGCTGTTGAACCAGTGCAGCAAGCACGGCGACCTGCGCACGGCGCTGGCGCTGTTCGACGCGCACGTGGCGGGCACGGGGCCCGCGTTCAAGACGTACGAGTTCAACATCGCGCTCTACCTCTGCGCGCTCGTCGCCTCCTCGGGGCAGGTGGGGTCCGTCCCGCGGGGGGGGAAGGGGAAGGAGGGCGGAAAGAAGAAGGAGGGGGAGAATGGTGCCGGGGCAGGTGGTGGAGACAGCAGCGCGGCAGGAGGGGGAGAGGAAGGGGGGGAGAAGTGGAGCAAGGAGGAGGCGAAGGCGGTGGCAGGGGCGCGCGGAATGGACGTGTGGGCGGACATGCAGCGGAGAGGCGTTCCGCTTAACGAGGCCACCTTCACCGCGCTCGCGCGCCTGGCCTCCGCGCGCGGCGACGCGCCCATGGCGTTCCGCGTGGTGCGCGACATGGCGGAGCAGGGCGTCCCCCCGCGCCACCGCTCGTACGACCCCGCGCTGCTCGCCTTCTGCCGCCAAGGGGACCTGCGCGGCGCGGAGGAGGTTTTTCAACACATGGCTGCCCGCGGGCTGGCCGCGCTGCCCGAACAGGTCGCCGCCCTGCTGGACGTGAGCGTGCGCGCGGGCAGCCCGGGCAGCGTGTACAAAAACATTCACCGCATGCGGAAAGTTGCGCGCGGGCTGCCCGAGGACGTGATTGGGACGCTGAGGGCGTGGTTTGAGTCTGAACGTGCTAGGCAGGGGGGCGCGGAGGGCGAGGGGGGGAAGAGGGCGGAGGGGGCAGGGGAGGCGGGTAGCAAGGAGGCGGAGAGCGAGGGGGAGAGGGAGGCGCAGGGGGGAGGGGCAGAGGAAGGGCGGAAGGGGTGGACACAGGAGGAGGCGGAGCGGGCAATGGCAGTGAACGGGGGGGGATGGCACGGACTGGGGTGGGCCATGCACAGGGGGGACGCCGCAGGGGCTGGTGCAGGGGAAACGCAGGGGGGTTCGTGGCAGGTACAGGACGTGCGGGTGGACGAGGGGGGCACGTGCTCTGGTTGCAGCGCCCGTCTCGCCACCATCGATCTGGACGACGCCGAGACGGAGCGCTTTGCGCGCGCCGTGGACGCACTGGTGGAGGCGAGGGGCAAGGCGCGCGAGCTGGCGGCGTTCAAGGCGTGGCTGGCACGGCACGGGCCGTTCCCTGCCGTGGTGGACGCGGCCAACGTGGGGCTGTACAACCAGAACTTCGCCCAGGGGGGCTTTAACTTCTGGCAGCTCCACTCCATCGCCAAGGCTGTCGCCGCCCTGGGGCCTGCAGGCTCGGGTGGAGGTTCGGAGGCAGGTTCGGCGTCGGCGGCCCCGAGGCTGCCGCTGCTGGTGGTGCATCACAAGCGGGTGAAGGGCGGGCCGGCAGCAGAGCCGTTTGCACAGCAGTGCCTGGCGCAGTACGAGCAGCAGCACTGCCTCTTCACCACCCCCACTGGCGCCAATGATGACTGGTACGCTGCTCTGCTGATCTGCAGTGCAAATCCATGTGCCTGTTGCCCTTGTTGTTCCTGTTTGCTCCCACTGCTCTCACGTCATGGCGGCAGCTCCACCTCTGCCTCACCCTGAGCCAGCCTCATCCACGCCACATGCCCCATGCCACCCGCCTCCCTTCCCTTTCCCCCCTTCCTCCTCTGTCCGCGTGGCAGGTACTGGCTGTACGCGGCGATATCGATGCGGTGTCTGCTGGTGAGCAACGATGAAATGCGCGACCACATCTTCCAGACGCTCAGCGCTGACTACTTCTCGCGCTGGAAGGAGCGCCACCAGGTGAGGGGACACGGCTGGATGGGGGGGTGGGTGGCGGGTGGATGGGAGGTGAAAGAGGGAGGTGGTTGAGTAGCGAGACCAGGTGGTGGGCTGCCATGGGGACACCACCATGGTGACTGTTGTGTGTTCGGCTCCTAGCATATGTGACATTCATGTGTTTTCACTCCACTTGGATGCTCATGAGCTTTCATTGTGGCGTGGTGTGTAACGCATGGCATGGCATGGCATGGCATGGCAGGTGCGGTTCACCATGACACCGCGAGGCCCAGTGCTGCGCATGCCACCCAACTTCTCCTTCGTCATCCAGGTCAGACCGTCACACCCACTCCTCCCTCCTCCACCTCACTCGAGGTCACACCCCCTCTCGATCCCCTTCCCTTGCCACTACTACTTCCCTTTTGGCCTTCTGTCCTTAAGTGCTCATAGTTCCGTCGCCATGCCACGGGCCGCACCGCTCAATGGGTTGCCCTCTGTATCTCCCCCATCATCCCGTACCTCCCATTCCGCCCATCCCATCCCACCCCTCAACCACCTTAACCATTCCCAACCATCCCATACCTCGCAACCGCACCGTCCTCCCATCCGTGCATTCCCCTCATCTGCCTCTCCCGTGCCCTGTGCCACCCATATGCGCGCTGCTATTCCCCCCAGGAGTCAAGCGACGGCGCCTGGCACTTCCCCAAGGCGCACCGCGCAGGGGGACAGGGAGAGAAGGGGGACGGAGGGCAGGAGAAGAATTTGGTTGAGGGTGGAGGGGAAGTGGAGATGTGCGGAGAAGGGGAGGCGAAAGAACGCTTGAAGGAAGGGAGTGAGGGAGAGGGGGGCAATGGAGAGGGTGGAGGGGGGCTGTTTGACAAATGGCTGTGCGTGCAGTGGAAGAGAGAGTGAGGGAGTGTGCAGTGAGGAGGCAGTGAGGGATGTGTGCGGCCTACAGAAGGTATCACTTGACAAGAGGCACCACGAACACAGTGGAGGAGAGCTGGTCATTGCTGCCAGATCAGAGAACGTTTAGCTGTCGCTTTTCAGGCTGCCGTGCTTTTTATTACTGTAAATGTATAAAAGGTTAGGCATTAGACTAGACAGAAGGCCGTCCCCTGATGCATGTTCTCACTCTTATCTTGAACATGTCCTAACAACAGCCCCTAGTGAGCTGATGCCTACTGGCCTCATGCATTCAGCACCATCCCGTGCCATCCTCATGCCATCCTATCCCTTTCCCTATCTGCGTCCCTGTCACCGGCGTCCCAGCCTGTTTCCTCCGCGCCCAGCCATCTTCTTCACCGCATCGATCACTGCACAGCCCTGCCAAGGGTCATCGTGGTGGTGGTGGTGTGAGGGGGGAAATGGTGGCAGAGAGGGCACGAGTGAAAGAGGTTGACAGAGGGGAGTTGCATGCTTGGTGTGGTGATGTGGAAGAGGAAGAGGAGAGGCTGGCCAATACCGCAGCCTGCAAACCTGCATGCACATACGGTACGGGTACTCCCAGTGCACTCACCAGCGCCCCCATCAGCTTTGCGCTCACCAGAGCGGTGATGCCGTCGCCCACCCACAGCGCCACGTCCACCGCCTTGCGCACGTTCTCGTTGCCTATCCTCTCCGGGTGGTAGCTGCCAGCACATGCCGCATCCCGCCACACGGGATTGGAAGGAGAAAGGGGAGGGGAAGAAGGAGCGGTGTGGAGGGTATGAGAGGCGACGAGGGTGGTGAGCACAGTGCGCGGCCTGCCAGCAGCCCGAGGCAAGCCCCCAGGCAGTGCCCAACCATCTACGCCTCGTCGCTGGGAACGCGGTGGCGCGATGGTAGCTCCGCCTCAGCACGGCGGGGCAGCATGCACGCGCAGGCCACCGCGCTGCCCGCAGCTCGTCCTCCGCCCCAACTCTCCGTCGCCTGCGGTTGAACCCATCCCCTTCCCGCGCGCGCTGCCCAGACATTGCGGAGCGCGGTCTCGCCGGCCTCACCTGATCCATCCGGCTCGCCGCGCCGCCGACGCGAGTGTTACGCTGAGCGCTGTCTGGATCACCAACGCGTCGCCCACCCCCATACCTGTCTTCCTGCCTGCCGGCCCGCCAAACGCGGCCGCACGGAGAACTGCGTGGGTGATTGTGGTGGTCTAAGGAAGCGGGACTTTCTCGCATGGAAGCAACACAAGCCGTAGTGCGCGAGCTGAGGTTGATTGTCATGGAATTTGTCTCATGATAGTAGCATACCGTAGTAACGAGGACAAAGTTAATAGTAGTTGTTCAGCATCTCTACGCCCAACTACATAATCAGGCTTACGCTGAATACTTTCTTAATGTAACAATTAATTACACTCATGTGGATAAAGAGTTTGTCCTTCATAAATAAACAAAAATGTCTCAATTGCTGATTTCCCTATGAGTCGTCACTAGTGAGCCGAATGTCTTCCGCATCCTCATCCCCATCCGCATGCAATTCACCCATATCCCCCTCCATCTGCACCTCGGCCTCCACCAGCCGTTGATACATCTGCCGCAATCGACGGCTGCGGAGCCACGTGACAAGCGAGAGATATCCAAATCCCACAATGAGCACGGTCAGGCCCACAAACAGTGCAATCCACATGGGAGATAGCGCCTCCGAAGGCACGTACACCCACCGCTGCTCACACGGCCCCACCAGCTCTGGTGCCGGCAGGGAGGCAGCGCCGGGGAGAGTGGGGCTGCAGTGGTGCGGCTGGCGCCATGAGTAGGTGATGTTGTGGTTGCCGTTGGCGTCAGCACAGTCGCCCTGCGAGCGGATGATGTCGTCTGGCTTGCACGGCTCACACGGCTCGTCTTGGGGTAGCGGGTTGAACGGGTTCAGCTGGCACACCTGGGGGGATGAGGGAAGGAATGGGAGGTGCGGCATGAAAAAGGGAGAGAAGAGTTGGAAGGGCGTTGAGGGGAGAAACCGTGATGAATTGACGAGCACATTGGAGGTAACTGGAGGATGAAAATGCAGCACAAAGGAACACCTCTGGTCGCAGAACACTGTGGCAGAATGTTAGTGACCCGGTCAAAAGCCATGCAGTCAACAGCCACAGCCTCATGCATGCATGCATACCCGGGGCAATTTCCACTTGAAGGTGGCCCTTGTCTCGTCCATGCACTCAGCCGTCTCCACGCGCTCATAGTCCTCATGGGAGCACAGCGGGCACGCAAACAGCGAGTACCACACGAGGCTGAACGAGCAGTCGCTGTGCTCGATGCGCTGCACCGCTCCCCCCCGTTGGCTGTACTGCGGGTACCCCAGCACCGGGTTGAGTGCTGCCATCTGCCCTTCCTTGGTCCATGCCTCTGGCTGCCCATGGCCTGAGGGGGTTGGAAGGATGGTTGGTGGAAAATGGAGGGTGGATGGTGGCGGATGATGAATGGCGGATAGGTGGGGTGTGGTGTGTGAAATGAACACACATTGCTCTAGTGCTTGTCTACTCGGCACCATGCGCGCACATTCTCTCGCAAACCCCACCCCTCTCACTCACTCCCCCCCACTCCACACACCAGCAGCGGGGTCGCATATGAAGGTGAGGTTGGTCTCCCTAGGCATGTTGGTCTGCGGGCACTCGTCCCCTGTGAACGCCATCACCAGCCCGCGCCGGTACAGCCCTGCATGCACGGCTGCCAGCGGATAGACCGCCACTGCACTGCCTAGATTATGCCCCGGCCGTGCTCCACTTCTGGCCTCCCGTGGATCGACCTGCATGGGGTGGGGTGCGGTGGGGTGCGGTGGGATGTGGTGAGGAGCCCTGCGTGCACGGCTGCCAGCGGATACACCGCCACTGCGCTGCCAAGACTGGGTGCAGGGGAGGAGTGGAGGAGATGGGGAGGATGGAGAGCAGGCGGGTAGAGTGCTGAAGTGAGGCACGGAGCCAGCCAGGTGCGAGGCCAGCAACATGTGGTCGGTTGGAATGTGGACGGACTGCAGCACGTGCAGTGCAGTGAGGGATGTGCATGGGGAGACACAGCACAGCACAGCACAGCACAGCACAGCACAGCACAGCACAGCACAGCACAGCACAGCACTGCACAACACAGCACCGCAGTGCACCTTGCAGGCGTAGGTGTTGAGGGACCGCCCCGAGTAGTCGTAGCACGTGTCGTTGCCGCTGTCCCGATCGCACACACTCACAAAATACTCCGCTGCCTGCTGCCCCCTCGCCTTGCTGTTCCCACTCCCCCCCTGCCCACCACCCCCTCCTCCTGCCCCTCCCTCTGCAACTTCTCCCCCCCCAGCAGCATCACCATCAGGGTCAGCAGCAGCAGCAGCAGCATCGAGCACAGGGCCAAACATGCGGCCGGGGTGCATGCGAGACAGGGGGGAGAGGTCAAACACCACTGCGGCCGCCGTCCCATTGCCTGTCACACCACCCACAGTGCCACTGCCACCAGGGGGCGATGCACCCCCCCTCCCTGCTTCCCCTTCCACCCCCCTCTCTCTCTCCCCCCCCTCCGTCCCCCCTTCCCCCACCTCCCCACGTTGCCCCTCCTGCCCCGCCTGCTCCTCTGCACCGTCCTGGCCAAGGTATGGGCGACGAGGGATGGAGTCCAAGGGCAGCGAGAAGGTGCAGAAGGAGGCGGGGCGAGTGGCGTCGCCGATGAAGCACTCCGTGCTGCCCGCCAGGGACGACGTGCCCGCTCCACACGGATTGCACGCCCACTGCGCCCCCTAGCACACCACACCACACACGTAGCAGGGTGCATGTGAGGGCACAGTCAGGTGGTGTGGTCAAACCCGGCTGAGGTTGCTTTCGTGTTGACTCAAATGCACACAGCATGCACACCCACTGCGGTCCCTAGCAGCAGTGGGAGGCAAGGGGCACACGAGGATAGCCACAGGCGGGCGAGTGGAGCGATGGACGCATGGCAGCATTGCTGCATGGCTGCATGGGGGGTTGGCGGAAATGGGATGCTTGCAGGGGCATGGCTGGAGCATGGTGCATGGACTGGCGTGGTATGGACTGGGTGGCATGGCGGGGCATGGCATGGCATGGCATGGCATGCATGGGGTGGCGTGTTGCAGCAGGGGCGCACCTGGGGCTGGTTGTTGAAGGTGTTGGGCGGGCAGGGCAGGCAGGAGGACGCACCGCCCTCACTGGAGGTGCCAGGGGGACACGGCACGTATGAGTCGCCCCCCTCTGCTAGCGTTGTCCCCTGCGGTACCTCCTCACACCGTGCTGCACCGCCCTCCGCCACTCCCTCTATCTGCACGGCGGCATTGCATGCAAGCAGGAAGGCTCAGAGAGAGGGGCGCATGAGTGCGTGCAACCATAGGCACATGACGTGCAATCATAGGCACATGACGTGCAACCAGTGGTAGTGCCATGTCACCATAGCATAGTGGCAGCATTCATGTGCATGCACAGGCCAACCGTTGCGCTTACACACACTCGGACCCCTTCCCATGCCACGACCACACGCATACATGGATGTCACACGCACATGGATGTCACACGCACATGGATATCACACGCACATGGATGTCACACGCACATGGATGTCACACGCACATGGATGTCACACGCACATGGATGTCACACGCACATGGATGTCACACGCACATGGATGTCACACGCACATGGATGTCACACGCACATGGATGTGACACGCACATGGATGTCACACGCACATGGATGTCACACGCACATGGATGTCATAGATGACAGCAGAGTCACGAGTGGTCCTGGTAGCAGCGCCCGTGTCATCCAGCTTCTGCCACACCCACATGACCAAGTGGCGCCCCACATCCAGCTCCCATATGCCACTCATGCGCGTCTCCTCCTCCCCTGACCCCGGGTGCCCGCTCTCCTCCCCGCCCTCCTCCCACTCCACGCGTTGTTGCTGGCAGGCGGAAGGGGCAGTGGGAAGGAGGGAAGAGTATGAGGGGGTCATCATGGTGCGGCCAGAGCAATGGCTGGACAGGTAAGGAAGGGACCATGGGCACGCCTTGCTTGCTCCCAACACCGTACAGCAATGCATGCATGGCATAGTGTGCAATGCACCTTCACACCTCTAAGCACATCACCTGATTATCTCCATATGAATAGACCACTTCACACGGGGTCACCTCAACATAGCCCATGACGTCACCTCCTCATAGCCCATGACGTCACCTCCACATAGCCCATGACGTCACCTCCACATAGTCCATGACGTCACCTCCACATAGTCCATGACGTCACCTCCACATAGTCCATGACGTCACCTCCACATAGTCCATGACGTCACCTCCACATCGTCCATGACGTCACCTCCACATAGTCCATGACGTCACCTCCACATAGTCCATGACGTCACCTCCACATAGTCCATGACGTCACCTCCACATAGTCCATGAGGTCATGATCGATAAAGAAGAAGAAGGCCCGGCCCGGGTCGCCAGGGAGGATGTCAACGGAGTAGTTGAAGGTCATGTACCCGCGCACCGCCATGTGCACGTCCAGTGCCAGCCAGATCTGATGCCGCACGGGACGCCAGGGGCGGCACAAGTAGTAGAGGGGTAGATTGGGAAGGGAGACAAGGCGCAGGGCAGGTTGGGAAGAAGTATAGCCCGCATTCCAGAGAGCCCGTCCACCTTTCCTTGCCGTGGCGGTGGGGCCGTGGCCGCTGCCCGAGTCAAGGTGGTCGGGAAACAAGTGAGCACAGTCTTGGTGCCACGTGGCAGTGACTGATGCTCACATAACAATCTCGTGGTGTAGCGCATGCAGCAAGCCGATCCATCCATTTCTCACAGAGGCGGTGGGGCCGTGGCCGCTGCCCGAGTCAAGGTGGTCCTGAAAGGCCCGCCAGCCGAAGGTGCCGCAGTCGCCATGGCAGCCGGTGGTGAAGTTGGGGGGCAGGGCGCCGTTGGGCTGCATGGTGAAGTGCTTCAGCGACAGGGTCTTCATCGCCACCTGCCCCTCGCTGCACGCCTCACACCGCCCCTCTAACATGCTGCCACCGCTGCCCGCCCCCCCCTCGTAGCTCGCCTGCCGCGCCGTACCCTGCGGTGATGAGGGGTGTGGGGAGTGGGCGGGGAGGGAGGTGTGGTTGGGTTCGGTGAGGGTGCCTCAGGGAAGGTTCGATGGTCGGGCGAGCAGCGATGGGCAAATAGGGAAGAGGCAGGAGTGGTGCAGGAGGGAAAGGAGGCTCACGGGAGGGCAGAGGCTGCAGCGGATCTCCCCTGACTGCGGGTCGGGCTCTGCCTGCTGGCCATCTGGGCACGGCTCTGATGGGGTGCGATGAGACATGGAGGGTGGGGAGGTAGGGAGGTGTGGGAAGGATGAGATGGGGTTGAAAGAATGCTTGGCTGGGAGGTGGGTTGGAAGGAATGGCATTTCGTGGCATGGCATGGCGCTGCATCTCGTGGTTTGGCATGGCATGGTATGGCATGGCATGGCAGCTCACCGCAGTCAAGAGGCATGTCCATGGGCAGAGTGATGTTGGAGGGGTCACAGATCTGAGGCTGGATCCACTGCCACTTCTGCACCCATGCATGCATGCACCCATGCACACACAAATGAAGGAGAGAGGCAGGGATCACAGTGAGGAGATATGCAAGTGGGAACAACATGGACGATGATGGCGGCAGTGATTGCAGGAGGGCAAGGGAATGAAAGAGAGAGAGAGAGAGAGAGAGCCATGGCATGGCATGGCATGGCATGGGCTCACCATGATGCGCTTCTTGGAGGCGAGCTGGCATGGCGTGTAGGTGATGGTGGAATCGCTCACACTGCATGCTGAACCGCGATGGGAGGGGGGGAAGACAACAGTGGTCGCACGAGGGAGAGGTACGAGATGAGAGTGCGTCATGAGAGAGAGGTGGGAGTGAGGTGGGAGTGAGGTGGGAACGGTATGCATGCATGTGGCAATGGTGGTGTGGAGTGTCACTAGGGGCGGGGCTGGCAGGCTCACGCAGGCGGGGCTTGCAGTCGGTGCGCGGGACGATGCGCGCATAGGCGCTGCTCCCACATGCCGTGCACTCTGACGCGCCCTCCCTGCCATGGTTGCGTGCACACATGCACATGCACACGCACATGCACACGCACATTCACACACACATGCACATGCACACACACACGCACATGCACACGCACATGCACACGCACATGCACACGCACATGCACACGCACATGCACACGCACACGCACATGCATATGTACATATATTTCCAAATGCAGAAATGTGTGTGTATGAAAGGTGTGTGAGCATAAAGCCTTGCACATGGCCACGTGGAGGTAGGGACCAAAAGGTTGCCCACGGTATGGACATCTCATGTGCTGACGTGGTTGGATTGAAGAATCCAGTCCGTTGACCCTGTGTGACTCACTTGGAAATGGTGTTCTCAGGACACGGCTCACACGCACCCGCGCCCTCCGCACTGCTCATAGGCACAGGGACACGTGGGGGGATGTGGAGTGAGGCGGGGAGAGGGGGGAAAGGAATGAGGGAATGAGGGGATGAGGGTAGGAGGCGGAAAGGAGAGGAGGAGAGGGGAAAGGGAAGAAAAGGGTGGACGGAAGGATGCGGGGCAGCGAGGGGGGAAGGAAGGGAGGAAGGCAGGGAGGAGGGGAGGTAGGAATGGCAGCAGGGGGCAGTAGGCAGGAGGGGAGAACATTGCAGGTGGTGCACGAGGAGAGATTTGTTCAAGCAAGCTCGCAGTATTGAAAAGGCATTGGCAATCCGCCACGGAAGGAGTGACTCGTACACGTGCTATCATGTGCGCCAGTGCAAGTGTCTACAGGGCTTGGGCCAGCAGGGCTAGTGCGAGTGGGCGGGGCGGTTCAAGCAGTGGTGGGCGGGAGAGTGGCGACCTGTAGAAGCCGGCGGGGCATGGCGTGCAGAGGAAGTCATTGAAAGCCACTCCGTCCACCTCTATGTACTGCCACGAGGTGATAGGGGGAGGAGGAGGGGGGGTGCGGTATGTGTGTGCAGAGACAAGCCAGCATGGCACACGGATGACATGGATAAAAACGGCATGTGAGCTTGCATGCCATGGCAATGGCACAAAGTGTCGACCTGTGGGATGGTCTGAGTTGCGGAAGACGCTAGACGCAACGTCTAGACGCTAGACGCAGGATGCACTTTTAGACACAAGACGCTTGGGCGGAACCTGATGGGGACGAACCTGATGGGGACGAACCTGATGGGGACGAACCTGATGGGGACGAACCTGATGGGGACGAACCTGATGGGGACGAACCTGATGGGGACGAACCTGATGGGGACGAACCTGATGGGGGCGAACCTGATGGGGGCGAACCTGATGGGGACGAACCTGATGGGGACGAACCTGATGGGGACGAACCTGATGGGGACGAACCTGATGGGGACGAACCTGATGGGGACGAACCTGATGGGGACGAACCTGATGGGGACGAACCTGATGGGGACGAACCTGATGGGGACGAACCTGATGGGGACGAACCTGATGGGGACGAACCTGATGGGGACGAACCTGATGGGGACGAACCTGATGGGGAACCTGATGGGGGGAAGACGCTAGACGCAAGACGATTGGGCGAATAAATTTCGGGCAGCCCGAAAATACAAAATTCGCTTGCGCGAAATTGAAATTCGCCATTTCAACGCGAAAATCAATTTCACGCCATTAGAACCCCTTCCCACTCATTTCGACCATATAAACCAGCAACCCAAGCAAATTTGAATCCCCCCCAATCATATATGATGAGATGTGAAAATTTTTGTGAAGTCTTAGAATGGGGAAAAAATGATGGTACAGGGAATATTTCACCTCATTGTGACATAGGTGCATGTCCCCCACCCTCCCCATGCCCCATAGAACTTTTTTTGGTCTGCCCGAATTTTTTTTAGGCCTGCCCGGGTTTCCGTCTAATACTGCGTCTAATCTATACTGTCTAGCGTCTAGCATCTTAGACGCTGCGTCTAGACAGGCGCGTCTAAGACGCTAGACGCGTCTTCCGCAACTAAGGGGATGGTATGGCATAGCGACTGACCGGAATGGTGGCGATGTCTTCCCCCTTGCTCCACTTGTCATCCTTGCTGTACACCCACACCAGGCGGTGGTGTGTTTGAGTCGACTCAGAACCTGGCAAAAGCCACCTTCTGAGACGATCCACCAGTCACTTCAACTGACCGGGATGGTGGCGATGTCTTCCCCCTTGCTCCACTTATCATCCTTGCTGTACACCCACACCAGGCGGTGCTGCCCCGCCTCCACCGGGAACACCATCTCGCGCGGCTCAAACTGCCGCCACGCACCGTGCCATGCACAGGGGGGCGCACGCACGCACAGTCAGAGGGATGGGGTGTGCCAGAGGCGTGAGCCACACACTTGAGGCCTCACGATGGACGGCGATGGGAGGGAGGCAACAAGTGGAAGGGAGGCAATGGGGGTGGGCTAGGTACAGGCATGAGGGGTACCTGGTAGGAGGTGAGCGCCATGAGGGGCTGTGAGAGAGAGTCGATGTAGAAGGCAAGCCCGTCGTGCCCCACCTCCGCACTCACTGTGAAGTTGAACTTCACGTACCTGTGCAGTGCAGGGCGCAGGTGGGGAGAGATGAGGGGGTGCAGGGATGAGTCATAACATTTACCTATTTTACCGTGCCCCACCTCTGCACTCACTCACTGTGAAGTTGAACTTCACGTACCTGCGCCGGGGGCGGGAGGGATGAGAGGGGGCAGGGTGACGGGAGGGAGGGAGAGTGGAGGGGCGGTTAGAGATACAAACGGGTGGTGAGATGTAGGTACTTTACCGTGCCCCATCTTTGCACTCCCTCTGAAGTTGAACCTCACGTACCTGCACAGGGCGGGAGGAGCGGGTGGGGGGCGGAGGGAAGAAGAAGGGTGAAAGGTAGGCGAGCAGAGGAATGGTGGATACAGCATTCACTGACATGCCATCCGCTTTGCGTTACTCCCAACTATACCCACCCTCTTTTGCCCTCCTTGTGGAGCATCCCCTGCAACTCCTCGCAACTCCTGCAACGTGCCTTGCAGCCGTGCTTCTGCCTCACCCGTCTCGCACGAGGTGCACGTCGAGGGAGAGTGATGAGAGCAGGTTGTTGTGGCAGTTGTACGCCGGGTCCGATGCACACACCTCCTGCTCATGCCGGGTCACGCAGGATTGGCGGTTCAACAGGGTTGGAAGTCAACAAGGTTGGGGGTCAATGGAGTTGTCGAGTAGATGTGGGGGCAGAGTGCATGGAGGGGGTCGGGAGGGGAGGAGAGAAACCGTGAACGAGAGAGTAGGCAGGACGTGTGTGCAGGTGGCGGGTAGTTCAGCAGAGGACCACTGGGGGGAGTCTCACCGGGAGCCAGTCGTTGATGTAGTCGTATGCACCCGCCTCAAACGCACCATCATCCGCGTACCAGCTGTGCAGTCAGTGGGGGGGACATGCAGCCACACACAGAGGCGAGAGGGGATGCGATGAGACAGGGGAGGGGTGCACAGAGGCGCACAGGGGTGCACAGGGGTGCACAGGGGCACAGAAGGTGCGGAGGTTGTGTGGGCAGTAAGGGCGGGCGGGGATGAAGGCATCTGGTAGGTTAAGTGCAGCAGGTGGTGAAACAAGTGAGGGAGGAGCAAGACAACAAGGAACGGTGGAGCGGAGGAGAGAATGTATGGTGGCATGGGCGGGGTGGGAGCACAGGGACAGCAAAGGTGGTGGGGGGCAGTGAGGGCAGAGGGGCAACGTACGGGTCGCAGTGGAAGGTGCCAGAGGCGTTGGTGAACCTGCACTCCGTCTGGGGGGCGGGGGCGGGGATGGCGGCAGGAGGGAATGGCAGACGCGTGCACAGCTGAGGGCTAGACAGAGATGGACTGATTCCTATGAGGCCCAGTCATGTACACACGAGAATGAACTGTGTGAATGGGTATATAGCATGTGTGTGCACACGGACAGCATGATGGTGGTATCAGCCATTCTACATGTCATGCGTGTGTGCTCCCCTCATGCCATGCCATGCCATGCATCCATGGCGGTGTGCACCTTGAAGTAGAGGGGGTCGATCTCAGATATGTCTTGGAACCGCCACTTCCCCCCCATGCTGTACGTGCCTGGTGTGGTAGACACAGGGAAGGTGGAAGGGGTGTGTGGCACGCGAGAGAGAGCAAGCAAACCAGCAGCTTCATATTTCTAGCAGACCAACTCACATGACACCACCGTTTCCTGCTATGGCTTCCCCCTCCCTCCCTTCACCTCGCCCCTCACCCCCTGTGCTCTGCTCTGACTGGAGCCCGCCAGTCACCCCAGATGCTCGCCTCTCTCTGTTTCGTTCCCTTCCCTGAGCCCCCACCTGCAAGGTCCCTGCCGTCCTGCCTTTCCTCGCCCCCGATCCCCTGTCACCACCAGGAGAAGCGAGTTCGAGTTCGCACCTGCAGGGCACTTGTGGCAGTGGTCGTGGTGCAGGTAGTGCCCCGCCCCGCACTGCATGTCTGCCGGGTGTGCGGGGGAGAGGGGGAGGGGGTGGGAGTGAGGGGAGAGTAACAAGGGGGTGCTTGGGGAAGAGGGGAGAGTGGGCGCACGCACGAGCATTCTGATGCAACTTTGGCCATATCTGGCACGGTGAGGCAATCAACAGCGGCCGACAGAGTGTGGCAACTGGTGGTGATGAGGCGAGTGAGGCTGTTGCACGGCCGCTTGGGGTTGGGTGGGTGGTAATTTGGCAAAGCGTCAGCATAGGTGAGGCGAGGGCAGGACTGGGGTGGGCGTGCGAGCGAGTGGGGGTATAAGAGTGTGGAGTGGGCTGTCTGTACCGCAGGGAATGAAGGTGGTGGGGGGCAGGTGAATGGAGCCTCGTGTGTAGGGGTCGCACTCCTGGCGGAAGAAATAGATCACCTGATTCGGAGTACACAGGGGAGGGAGAGTGGAAGGAGGGAACAAGGGGACACGTGGTGCATGTACGAAGGGGAATGAGTGAGGCATGAGACTTGATGGGAGGGGAATGTGAATGAGCGGAGTGCAGTACGGATAGAGCGAGCAGGGACGAGCACACGGGAGGAAGGGAGCAGCTCAGGGTGCACCTCCCCCAGGGTGCACCTCCCCCAGGGTGCACCTCCCCCAGGGTGCACCTCCCCCAGGGTGCACCTCCCCCAGGTCGCACCTCCCCCAGGGTGCACCTCCCCCAGGGCGCACCTCCCCCAGGGCGTACCTCAACAAAACGCATGGCAGAGATGTTGAGGCCAGTGAGGGAGTCACGGATGAAGTCACAGTCGGAGTAGATGGCGTCCACGTGCGCCTCTGTGCATGGCGCATTCGGTAGCCCTGTATGGCATGGCATGGCATGGGATGTGGGTGGTGCATGGCAGTCACTGCATGTGAGTACGTGCGAGTAGCGCTTGAATGATAGTGATGGTGTGACACGCATGAAGACTGTGTTGTGGCAGAGATGGCGAGAAACCGCTTGTCAAAACGAGGCAGAGAGGTGAGGAAGGTGGGGCGGGAGTGGAGGAGAGGAGAGGAGGAGAGGAGGAGGAGCACACTGACCGCAGTAGACCTTGTCCACTGGGATGAGCTGTGACTGCTGTGCTCCCGTGCAGTCTGGCCATGCAGCATGTGCGGATGGCAGGGGAGGGAGAGAGGGATGAGAAAAAAGAGGAACAAGAGGTTTACCTTGGTAGGAGGTAAGGAGGAGAGGAGCAGGAGGAGGGTGTCAGACACACAGGCTGAGAGGTGTGCGTTGACAGTGTGTGCAGAGCAGACTCACTGCGTGGCAGGTACTGCATGTTGCACGTGGCACCATCACGCGAGGCCGTGTAGACGACATCAAAGTCCTCCGGCGTGCATGCTGCCGGGCAGGGGCACACGGGGCAATGGGTGGATCAGCATGCGATGGGGGCGATGTGGGTTGATAAGCAAGAAACGAGGGAGATGGGGATGGTTTAGCAAGAAGCCCGAAAATGGATGGATGGGTTGAGGCCACCGTGCCTTGACTTTGTCTGTCCACATGGCGTCATTCACACCACCACGCTCTTCTGCTGCACTCACTGCACGGCTCCTGCTGCGAGGGCTGGACGGGGAACGGATCGGTGCAGTTGCGCGCCTTCACAAACGACACTGTGCGCCGCCCCTTGCCTGCACTCCGCACGGCAAGGTACGGGGGGAGAGGGAGGCGGAGAGGAAGGGGAAGGCGGAGGAGGGGACAGCCGCTAAGAGTTTATGGGGGGGAGGCGGATACAGTTAGGGTGATGGTGAGCTTTGTGTGTTTGAATTCGACTTAAACATGCTGAAGAAGCAGCGAGTGGTAACAGCGAATTGGATATGTGTGGATGGATAGGGAGAGGGGGCACACAGACATCATGCTGGTTACAACCGAGCACACCAGCCACATCTCGCGAGCCCAACACAAGCCAGCCTCTCGTTAGTGGAACGCTGCTCACTGTCACATGCGCCGGACTGTCTGATGTAGTCCGTCAGCCCGCATGTCGTCGACAGCTGCTCCGCCTCCTCGCGCGACGCTTCCGCGCCCCCCTTCTCTTGCGCCGGCGCTCCGCTCACGGTTTCTCCCCCTGCAGGGGAAAGCGGAGGCGCAGCTTCCGGAAAAGCAGGCGCAGCGGGAGCGTTATTCCGCGCATCACTGCTCGGCTCTGTCCGGCTTCCAGCAGGCGGAGCCTGTGGGGGAGACGACAGCTGCGGAAGCTGCTGCGCCGGTGGCTCCGCGGATGGCTGGGATGCCGGCGCGTTTGCAGTGCTGGCAGATTGTCGATCATTCAAGGACGGCGGGGATTCAGCCGGCGAATGTGCGAACAATTCGGCCTGCAGTGGCGGCGACGCTCGTGATGGAGCCTGGTTGGACGGTTGCTGATCGACAGATGACGGCGAGGTTGCATTATTTCTAAGCTGTGAGCCCGGGACGGCTTGGGACTGCTGCGGCAATCCCGAGGGTTGTCCGCTTGGAGGATCATTGGCCAGTGAAAGAGGAATGCACACCAGTAAAATTGCTAGAACGGCCGTAGCCGTGAACCCATGAGCCATTGGCAAAGTTACGCCAGCAATGCTAATGCCTTCTTCACGAACCAGTCGGGCCCTAGACTGACAATGTAGGGGATAATGCTATCTCCATTCCTATGTAATTACCTGAGCATCTGTCAGGGTGGGATGATATCAAGGAGACCAGGCAATTCTGGTTCGTGTCATCGAAAGGTAGTTGTGCAAGATAGTGGTTCTCGCAAGCTTCAGTAACTGCATCTCGCAACCAGTAGGATTGCGTCGCTGGTGCAGTCGTTCTTCAGAAACCATGGCCCCCCATCAAACCTCGCGCGCTTCGCTGTTGTTGAAAGCCTGAAGCTGGATGTTGTAAAGGTAGTCAAGTTATAAGCGATTTCAGCCCTGTTTCAGGTTTATTGCTATAATATATGCTTCATACTTTGTATCATTTGAATGAAAGTATAGTATGTTTTCTCACGTTATGAAATGTTCTTAAGTATATTCCCACTGAATAAATTGTATATCATGCTTTCTGGAAGTATCTCTGACAGACATGTGACCAAAAAAATCGCCATAAGTGCATATTGCTAAAATGGTTTATTTCGTTGGAGCATAGTTGGTGTTCTACACATTTTTCAGGATTGCCCCAATTTGAGACTCCAGCATTCGCGCCGCCGTCGGGAACGGGGAAATGGGCAAAAGCAGAGTCAAGCCGCGTCTTTGCAAAATGACCGTTCCAAATGTTCGGTCCTCTTCATTTCCTCCCGTTGCCTCCCCAAATCCCCAGTCCCACCCACCAACACGGTCCACCCCATACACTCCCCCCCACCCCCAAACCCTTCGAATCCCCTTCCTCATCCCGTTGTCGGTTTCAGTTTCCCATTGTGATGACATAGAGAACCCGTTCGCGTGACGCATTTGCAACCCCTTTTGTTCATCCAGCACTTCGGAGACTCCAAGATTTGGCACTTTCAGGATCACGTTTAGTGTAGATTGGCCGTTTGACATGCGCCTTCTGCAACCCCCTTGGCACGTTTTCCATCACAATGGCGGTAGGCAGTGGACGTATACTACAGGAGAGCATATCCGAATATGACGTGCTAACGTCGTCTCCATCTAAGACAGTTTTGAAATCTATCCACGCAGAGCACGATGCGGCGTCTAGCTCCGTGTCGCCTCTATCCATGTCGCTATCGCTGTCGGGCACTTTCAGCTGCGACAGTTCGCGCTTCAGCTGCGACGGCGCGCCCGACGACACGGGCTGGGAGAGCCCTTCGGATTCCGGTGGCGACGCGGTCTTCGGCGCGCAGTACGGTGACCGCCTCCCCAGCCGCAGGCGGAGCTTCGCAGGCGCGGGCACGAACCTTTCGATCGGACGGCTATCGGATGGGCATTTGAGCCTGGAGCGCGCGTGCAAGTCGGCGACAGTGTCGCGCGTTAGCAGCCGCCTGCTGGCCCCCACGCAATCGTCGCAGGCCAAGTCGCGCTCTCTCAACCATCGGCGCGCGGCGGAGGACGGTGGGACGGTGGGGCGCGAACCGTTCAGCACCTCATCGCAGCCGCGGAGGACCAAAGCTGGCGCGACAGCAGCAGGAGCGGCCCGCGGAACACCCACAGACTTAAACGAGCGTGTACATGCGCCGGTTTGTAGCCCACCGCGCGGAAAGGTTTCTGTGGAAAAAGCAGCACAAAACGCGGCAAAAGGCGGGCAGCGCGGACAGGGGCGGCGACTGTCAGACGCGAGTGAGAATCTGGCGCTGAAGCTGGCCAAGCACCGACAGGGGCTGGGGGTGGTGGGCGCCGGAGATCCCAAGACGGGTGCTGGTGGCGCCTCTGCCACTCCACATGTGCCACGTGGCGGGAGGGTGGGATCTCGAGGGGGGGCTGCGGCTCTGCCCGTGTCCCGCAGTGCGCTGGCTGCGGACAGGAAGCCGCTGGTTGCGGGATCTGCGGGGAACGTTGCGCAGAGCCGCGTTGTGGCGGGGGAAGTGAAGCCCCGACAGCGCCTGGCGGACGGGAAAGGTCCGCCTAGTGGTAGCGGCGGACGAATCCCCGCGCATGGCGCACCGGACGGGGGAAAGGGGCTGCGGGAACACAGTGCGGGGGGATCAGTGAGCGGTAAGGGGAAGAACGAAAAGCGGGTAGTAGGGACAATCGGAGTGGGGAACGGTGGGAGGGGCGTGAGCGCGGAGCAGAGGACGAAGAAGCGTGGTGAGGAGCAAGAGGCAACCCCTCACACAGAGCCGTCGCGAGGGTCGAGGAGGAGTGGAAGGCGGGTAGCTGCGAAAGGCCCGCGTGGATGCGATCAGAGTAGAGCGGAGGATGGGTCTGCGCACCACCCGGCAATCCGCACTGCACCCCGCGCGCAACACACGCCTTCCCACCAACACCCGACTCCTCCTCCACCTCATCCTGATCAACTGCCTCTGGTCACCCAGCCAACTGGTAACCAGTCCATCAGCCAAACCAGCTTCACCCTCCCGCCCAGCCTCCTCCCCCTCCCGCTCACCTTCCCCTCACCCTCCCCATCCTCCGCGGGATCCGCGGAGGACGCGGACATGCCGTGGGCGGAGCTGATAGGCGACGTGCGCGGTATGGAGCAGGACGTGCAGTACGTGCGGCACGCCATGCTCGCCGCCGGCTTCCTCTCCGACGCCCTTCCCCCCCTCTTCTCCCCGTACCTCCCCATCAACCCCGCCTTCTTCCAGCACCTCGAAGCCGCCTTCCTCATGCGCTGCTGCGCGCACGCCACGCACGACCCGTCTCACCTGACTGCCAGCCTGCCCTCCCTCCCTCTCGCCATACCCGCGTCATACCACGAGGAGCGCCGGCAGCGCATGCTGCTCTTTGACGCCGTCAACGAGGCTCTCGGCCGCCGCCTCGCGCCTTTCCTCCCGCGCGCGCCGTGGTCCCCCGAGCCCGTGCAAGTGGCGCCGCGGAGGCGGCCTGTGGGCATGGAGCTGGTGCAGGAGGTGTGGTCGGAGATTCACTCATGGCCCGTGGCGTCCACTGATGAGGTGTACACGGTGCTGGATGAGTCAGCAAGGCGTGATTTGTGGAGGGGCACGGAGAGGTGGCGTGCACAGGATGTGGCGGAGGAGGAGCCGGGTGTTGTGTTTGATGTGGAAGGGATGCTGCTGGAGGAGCTGCTAGAGGAGGTGTGCCTGGAGTTTGTAGAGGTGGAGCAGAGGCGGGCGAGTAAGAGGATGTCAGTGCATGGGGTGGTGAAGGCACAGATTACATCGTCTGGCTTTGTCTGTGCGGCTCATGTGAAGGGATCTGGAAGGGATGGAGTGGTGGCACTACTTGGTCCTGCTTGCCCTACTGCTGTGAGCAAGAATCTGCTTCGGCTTCCAAGGATGTGATGAGTTGCCAAGGGAATAAATTATGTTTATAAAGTTCCAAAAATCCTTGTGTCGCTTTTTTGCGTAGCTGTTTCGTTTCTGCTGTTAGTAGTACTATGGTAGAATGACATTGACACCCTTATTGTTCTATATACGCTTCAGTTTTTCTTGGCACTCATGTCACTTGCACTTATTAGAAAACTCCTAACTGAGAAATAGTTAGGGGAAGAAATCGTTTGCTGGATAAAGTGAGCACTGTAGAGAAACTCGGCTACGAATATAATTGAACTGTACCCAGAGTTCAGTCAGACCCGCCACAGTCCCCCAACGAATATTCCCTAGGGGCACCCCGGGGAGTGCAGCAGGCAGGGGGGCAGCTGGGGGTGCCCGGGGCACCCCAGGGAGTGCAGCAGGTAGGAGGACAACCGAGGATACCTGGAGCACCCCAAGGGAGTGCAGCAGGCAGGAGGGCAGCCGAGGGTGCCCGGGGCACCCCAGGGAGTGCAGCAGGCAGGAGGGCAGCCGAGGGTGCCCGGGGCACCCCAGGGAGTGCAGCAGGCAGGGGGGCAGCTGGGCGTGCCCGGGGCAACCCAGGGAGTGCAGCAGGCAGGGGGGCAGCTGGGGGTGCCCGGGGCACCCCAGGGGGTGCAGCAGGCAGGAGGGCAGCCGGGGGTGCCCGGGGCACCCCAGGGAGTGCAGCAGGCAGGGGGGCAACCGGGGGTGCCTGGGGCATCCTAGGGAGTGCAGCAGGCAGGGGGGCAGCCGGGGGTGCCCGGGGCACCCCGGGGAGCGCAGCAGGCAGGGGGGCAGCTGGGGGTGCCCGGGGCACCCCAGGGAGTGCAGCAGGCAGGAGGGCAGCCGAGGGTGCCCGGGGCACCCCAGGGAGTGCAGCAGGCAGGGGGGCAACCGGGGGTGCCCGGGGCACCCCAGGGGGTGCAGCAGGCAGGGGGGCAGCCGGGGGTGCTCGGAGCACCCCAGGGAGCGCAGCAGGCAGGAGGGCAGCCGAGGGTGCCCGGGGCACCCCAGGGAGTGCAGCGGGCAGGTGGGGAGCCAGGGGTGCCCGGAGCACCCCAGGGAGTGCAGCAGGCAGGAGGGCAGCCGGGGGTGCCTGGGGCATCCCAGGGAGTGCAGCAGGCAGGAGGGCAGCCGAGGGTGCCCGGGGCACCCCAGGGAGTGCAGCAGGCAGGAGGGCAGCCGAGGGTGCCCGGGGCACCCCAGGGAGCGCAGCAGGTAGGAGGGCAACCGAGGATACCTGGAGCACCCCAGGGAGAGCAGCAGGCTGGGGGGCAGCCGGGGGTGACCGGAGCACCCCGGGGGGAGCAGCAGCTAGGGGGGCAGCCGGGGGTGACCCGAGCACCCCAGGGCGAGCAGCGGGCAGGGGAGCAGCCGGGGTTGACCGGAGCACCCCAGGGAGTGCAGCTGGCAGGAGGGCAGCCGAAGGTGCCTGGGGAACCCCAGGGAATGCAGCAGGCAGGAGGGCAGGGAGTGCAGCAGGAAGGAGGGCAGCCGAGGGTGCCCAGAGCACCCCAGGGAGAGCATCAGGCAGAGGGGCAGTCGGGGGTGACCGGGGCACCCCAGGGAGTGCAGCAGCCAGGGGGGCAGCCGAGGGTGCCCTGGGCACCCCAAGGAGCGCAGCAAGCAGGGGGGCGATCGATGGACGACCAGGAGCAACAGTTGGAGGAGTGGTGTCGACTTCTGGAGCTTGATACCCCCATGGCGACTGCAGAGGAGTCAGAGGTGGACGAAGAACCTCCCTTGCCGCCTTCCCCATGCCCCTGCTTCCCGTGCGACACGTGTTTCCACACTTTCGCTACGCGGGGGGGCGCAGCGAACCACATGAGGGTATGCCGAGCGGCTGAGGCGGAGAGGCGTGCACAGGCTCTCGGCTCGATTCCGTCTCTGGTGGAGACTGACACGCAGGAGCGATCGACGCCGCGGGAATTTGGGGACGAGGCGTGGGCTGGGGTTACGTCATGGGAATGGGAAACATTTTTCAGTGTGGAGGCGGTTGGAGGAAGGACAGTTCGCCGGATCCCACAACGGGCCAGGTCGGGGGTCTTAGACGTGCTCTGTTGCATCCTTAAGCGCTTGAAGAGCCAGCCGGGAGATGAAGCCGCTACCCTCCTACTCTTGGCATTTCCGCGCCTCATCCTAGCCATGCCTCCAAAGCCAGGCATAGGTCAAAAGGCGCTGATCACAGAGCGGTTGGGAGCGTTCTGGGAGGGGAGGTGGCGAGAGCTGTTCGACTCTGCCATGGCGGCAGCGCGGCCAGCAGTTCGCCCACTTTCCTACACTCGCTCTGACCAGGATCCGGATGCCATCCGCCTGTCACGGTGCCGATCTCGGTGCAGAGTGGGGGAGTGGAGCCGAGGATTGGCCTGCCTTACAGCAGGGGAGTTGGCTCGACCGTCTGAGGTCATGGGGCAGTCGCTGCGAGAGAAGCACCCGGCTAGCGCAGGCGAGGTACCACAGTGGGTCCGCGATTTCACCATCGATACCGCTCAGCGGCCTTCACTCACGACCGACATCCTGGCCAGAGCTATCCATACAGCCGCTCGAGCCTCAGCAGCAGGGCCATCGGGGTGGGTCACAGAGCATCTGCGCGACACCTTCCTCACTGAACCTACCTGCCTTTCCCACCTGTTGGAAGTGTTCAACCAATGGGTGGCGGGACAGGTCCCCGAGCGGGCTCGGCCATGGCTCGCCGCATCCAACCTAGTCGGGCTTTCCAAGCCTAACGGCGACGTCCGGCCGGTGGCGATCGGGGAGGTGCTTCCTCGTATCCTTGCTCGTGCTCTCTGCATCTCGCTCCGCCCTGCGATGGTTTCCTACTTCCTACCATGCAACCAGCTGGGAGCGGGCACCAGGGTCGGGGCGGAGATTCTCACTCATTCTTTCCGGTCAGCGCTGGCCACTCACCCCGACTGGTGTGCGCTACAGATAGACGTCGCAAACGCCTTCAATTCGTTTCACCGTAATGTGATGTTCGATGGGCTGCGGGAGTCGCCTTTCTCAGGGATGATCCCATTCTTGCGTGTCTTTTATGGGACACCTAGCGACCTGTACCTCCGAGCAGGCCCTTTCGTACAGAGCCTCGAGTCAGCACGGGGATCGAGGCAGGGGGACCCGCTCGGCCCTTTTCTTTTCGCATTCACGCAGCAGCAAGTGATGGAGCCGATTACTAGGGAGTTCAAGGACCTGCTTTTCCTCAGCTATGCAGACGATACCTATATTTTGGGGCCAGCAGCTAGGATTCTGGAGGCTTTTGGGGTGCTGCGGGAGCGGTTGGAGTGGGTGGGGCTGGAGGTACAGGCGCACAAGTGCCGGTTTTGGGAGCGCGAGGGCGAGGGGGTGGAGCGGGCACTGCCATTGGGGATGCAGGGTTTAGAAGAGGGTCTTACTGTGGTGGGCGTGCCTATTTGAGAGGAGGCTTAAGAGGTGGTCTGGCTACGGGAGCGGCTTCGACAGTTGCAGGCGCCACTGCCATGGCTCTGTCAAAACTTATATTTGTAACTGCCTGTAGCTGTAGTTATTGTAGTTATTATAAACTTTGTTTGGTGGTGCACCTTATTTGTTTCCTTTGCTATATGTCATTCGAAACCTATAGTGAAACCATCCTTTCCAACTTTCTCGACTCTCACCCTAGGCACAAACTACTCGACATCCTAGTTGGGCCTAGGCTCCTAAGCCTAGGCCCTAGTTAAACTTGATCATTCTCGTTCCAGTTTCGATATGGTATCAGAGCGAGTTACGTCCTGGCCTGTGGGCCCGCCTCATGCTTCCGCTGCTACGTTTTTCCGGTCGCGCGCCTAGGGCGCGTGGCGATTTTCTATTGTCCCGCCCCCGGTTGGCGAGTGACTCCTTCTCTGCCCGTCGCGCGCCCCGTGGCACGCGACGGTGCCCTAAACCTGCCCGTCGTGCGCCCCGTGGCACGCGACGGTGCCCTGCTCGTCGTGCGCCCCGTGGCACACGACGGTGCCCTACAACTTAAACTTACCCGTCGTGCGCCCCGTGGCACGCGACGGGCCTCTCCGCACCTGCTCTCCCTGCAGCCGCCCCTGACCTACATGCGCCGACACATGTAGCCGCTCTGCGGCTTTCTTCCCGCCCACCCCCTCCTCGTTTGTCTCCCTGCAACCGTGGGGGGGAGGGTATGGGGGTGGCGGGTGTTGGAGTGTGGGGTCGTATACTTCCCTTCCCCTCCTCCTCCTTTCGTTCCCACTGCTGCAGTTGCCGCTAGGGGGGAGGGTGTGAGGGTGTGGGGGAGCAAGGGGAGTGGCACCGGGGTGGCGGGTGTGAGGCAACCAGCAGCCGTCCCTCCACCTCTCCTCTCTTCCCCCCCTCTTTGCTGCTCCTGCAGCAGTGTGGGGGAGGGGAAGGAGGAGGGTGAGGAGATGGAGGGGGTGACCAGCTAGTGTTAGCCCGCCTGCAGTACCTGTTGTTGCTTGTTTATTATTTTGCATGTGTACCCCTGCAGGTTGTATTCTGCACAAACTCCTGCTGTAGGCAGTTATGGGGGAGTGTCAGAACTTATATTTGTAACTGCCTGTAGCTGTAGTTAGTGTAGCTATTATAAACTTTGTTTGGCGGTGCACCTTATTTGTTTCCTTTGCTATATGTTCTTCGAAACCTAAAGTGAAACCATCCTTTCCAACTTTCTCGACTCTCACCCTAGGCACAAACTACTCGACATCCTAGTTGGGCCTAGGCTCCTAAGCCTAGGCCCTAGTTAAACTTGATCATTCTCGTTCCAGTTTCGATAGGCTCCCCTTGCTCGACCACCCCCAGACGGCTTCACACCTCCTCGCCATTGCAGTCTCAGCGCGGCCGATGTACCTCGCCCGGACTATGCCGCCGCGTCCGGAGGTGGTTGAGGCTTTTAGGGATTGGGATAGCTGTTTAGAGGATTGCTTTGAGCAGCTTTTCCCACCTGGCACTTGGGAGCAGGACCCCGACCGGTCTAGGCGCGCACGCATGCAGCTGCATCTCCCTGTGCGTCTCGATGGGTTCGGGATCCGGGCGGCGGCCTCTTTGAGCCCACTGTCCTATGTTTGCGGGTGGGCGCAGGCCGCGCGGGACATTGCACAGTTAGGGGTGGCGGGCGAGGAGGCGATGTTTGCTGAGTACCTCACCACATCGACAAGGGCAGAGTTTCTTAACCCGTGGTTTGTCAAGGCTCTCGAGCAGCTGCCAGCGACTATCCGCCACGAGATACCGGGCTTACCTCTGTGTGTAGCGGCCCCTCCTGTTCGGCTTTTCCAGGCGCGTCAGCGGCAGTTAGCTGTAGAGGAGCTCCAAGCACTGCGCCGCTTGGCTCGTGACGATGCTACCTTGGCCCGTTTCACATCCCTTCAGGGCCCGGGGGCAGGTGCATGGGTTTCGGCGGTTCCGGCTCACTCATATCTCACATTCACTGCGGCTGAGTGGGGCATTGCTGCTGCTATACGGCTCGGCCTCACAATTCAGCAGCTGCAGGTGGCGGGGAGGTGTGTTTGTGGCACAGCGTATGTTGACCCAGCAGACCCGCACCATGCCCTGAGATGCAGGCACCAGCATGGTCCTTCTCGGGTGCATGATGAGGTGAAGTTTGCGGTGGCGAAGATCTCCAAGGCGTCGGGGGGGGTGGTGACATTGGAGGATAGTGTGGTGCTGCAAGGGAAGCGGGTTGATGTGGCGGTGCGACGTCCAATGGCTGGAGAGGCTCACGCCCTAGAGATCAGCGTCGCAGACCCGCTATCGCTGTCTCCATCACTGCTGGGACAGTGCGGGCGTCAAATAGGCGTGGCGGCAAGGGAATGGGAGCGTCGCAAAACGAGTGATTACGCGCCTCTGCTTGCACGCAATCGGGGCGTGCAGTTCACCCCTTTGATAGTTGAGACGTGGGGGTGTCTCTGCGGCCGTTTTCAGCGGTGGCTTCGTCAGCAGGGGGATGCGCACGTGGGGCTAGCTGTGTCGCGGGGGGCTTGTCGAGAGGACGACTCTGTGTTTTCGGCTGTTCTTTTAGGGTCACTGAAGGCGCTCATCGGGGTGGCGTTACAACGTGCGCAAGCCCATGTCATCCTGCTTCGAGCGGCGTCTTCCATGGGGGGGATTAACGTAGATTTGGCGGATCGGGAGAGGGACGATGTTGATGTGGAAGGCGGGGCTCTCTGGGTGGAGGCCCCGTACATGGTCGATACGTTGATGTGATTGGGGGGGGGGGGGGGGGAGGGGGGGGGGGGGAGGATGGGGCGTGGGATGGGATGTCTTGATGGGGTGTCTTGATGGGGTGTCTTGACTGGGCGTTTTGATTGGGTATCTTGAGGGGGGTTTTATGTGTGTTGCATTTGGGTTCTTTTTGGGAGTTTCATTTTCCTTCTCCCTCTCTTTCTCCATTCCCTTTCTTTTTCAGACACACTAAGGCCGCTCTGACCTGAAGTGATTGCAGAGACAGATGCACCGGTCAGCATTCTTTGGAATTCAAAGTTGACTCAAATTGCCCAGTCTGCTGACCCATTTCTACGGGCGTTTTGAGACCTTCATCTCTGCTCCCCACGTCCTTCCAAAACTCCCTCTGGTCAACTTTAAAAAGCATGAACAATTTAGAGTTTGTATTTTCTCTATATCATAATCTCAGAATATTCCCTAGACAATCTGCTACATCTCGAGAATACCGACGGATTCAGGCAACTCGAATTTCTCAACTCAACCCATGGTTGCTGCTACTTCAGGCATTGCCCTTCTTAATGTTCGTGTTGAGCTTCCTCGTAACTCCACGTAGTCCTCCAGAGTAAATAGTCTATTACCACACTCCCCACGCTATTCGCGACCTCGCATCGCATGTGACCGACGTGCTGCATGCTCCATTGGATTGAATCTCCGTTCTCCTAGGCCACCACAGCACCATCGGCCATTGCGTTATTGGTCGACATCCTTCTGGTATCGCCTACATTGCAACTACCATTCTTATATGTAAAGACGGCCGCTTTGACGCTATTACTAGGACCTACTAGCCGCAAGTTCCCGCTCCCATCGGAGTCATGGCGGAGAGGGAGAAAGACGCGTCGACGAGTCCTCCCTCTGCCGTGCAGCCAGCACCAGACGTCGCGAATTCCCCGCCGTCAGCCTCCGAGTCTCCCGAGGCGGCCGGCTCGGGATGGGTGCGGTTAGTGCACGTGGAGATCGCAGGCGCGCGGAAGCTTCTGCCAAAGGACGGCGCCTCCTCCAGTCCCTTCTGCGTCGTGCGTGCCAACTGCGTTGCCGCTGCGGCTGACGATCCTTCAACTGCTTGCATGGAGCTTACCACATGACGCGTCAGTGGTCGCGTATTCACTGTCTATACCCTGTTCATGTCGTGTGATGGCATGGTATGGCATGGTACGGCGCAAGGCACGGCATGGCACGGATTTGCATGGTTTGTCATGGCACAGCATTACATGGCATGGAATGGCATGGCATGGCACGGCATTACGTGGCATGGAATGGCATGGCATGGCATGACATCGCATGGCATGATGGTGGGTGGCAGGTGGAGTTCAACGGTCACACGAAGCGCACGCACACAGTGGAGAGGGACCTCAACCCCGTGTGGGATGAAAAGGTGCGATAGGGGAGATGAATGCTCACACACTCGGGCTATTGCCCTTATTGCTCCTCCACTTACTGTCCTCACAAGTCACGTAACTCGTTGCATTCACCATTTGAGTGACCCACCCAATAATACATTAATGTTTGATAGAACTTTGAGTGAACATCTAGCTTGCTGGGCGGAAAACGGTTGAACCCATGAATACCTTCCCAGTCGTTATCCTCACCATGTTCTTCTCTAATTCCTCACTCCCCTCGCTCCCCTCCTCTTCCTCACCCCAAATCCAGTTCGTGTTTGCAGTCCCCCTGTCGTCACCCCTCAACCCCTCACTGGCCGACCACCAAGAGCCGGTCCACGTCACCATCTACACCCTCTCCTCCGCCTCCGCCCCTCTCGTTGCAGCCGGCAGTATCTCGGCCAGCTTTCGCCGCCCGGTGCTGGGCTCCGCCCCTAGTGGCGGGCTGGCAGGCCATCCGGAGAGAAGCGTGTTCCTGGGGAAGGTGCAGGTGAGCGGTGGACGCTTGGGGATGGTGGAGATGAGGGGTGGATAATGATGTTGCGATGAGAACTCAGCAGATTAGAACAGTAGGACGCAGAGGAGGGGGCCTGGGAAGATTGTGGATAGCGGGGACAGGCAGTGTGAATCTTGGTGTGCGGGACGCCCGTGTATGCGGAAAGCAGAGGATAAAGGAGGGAAGAGAGAGAGGAGCTGCTGCTCTCTTGAGCTGGTGCTCTCTTGAGCTGGTGCTCTCTTGAGCTGGTGCTCTCTTGAGCTGGTGCTCTCTTGAGCTGGTGCTCTCTTGAGCTGGTGCTCTCTTGAGCTGGTGTTCTCTCCGGTCTTGTGCTCCTTCTGGGGAGAAAGAGGGGGGAAGAACCTCCATGCCGAAAGGGGGGTAGAGGGGAGGGGTTATGTTGCAACAGGTGTATGAAGTCTAGGGAGGGGCGAGAGGAGAGCGTGCAGGTGAGGAGGGGGGTGTGGAGGCAGGGTGTGCAGCGTGGAGCACCTGTGAGCGTCCTCTTCCCCTCGTCCGTCCCCATCCCCAGCATTTCCTTCCTATCTCTGCCCATGCCCCTCCCCCCATCCCTCTGCTATCCCCTCTCCCCGTCTCCACGCCCCACTGCCCCTCCAGGTGCCCGTCCGCATACATGCCCCCACGCCAGGCATCCCTCTCCACCCCTCTGCACCCCTCGCCTGGCTGCCTCTTGAGCGCCGCTCCCTTGTCAACCGCGTGCGGGGCGACGTGGGGTGAGATGGGGGGAGGGGAGGGGAGGGAGGGGGGGGTGGGGGATGGAGGGGAGGGGGTTGAGGGAAGGGGAGGTTGAATGCGCAGGGCGAACTGGGTGAGATGAGGGGGGGGGAAGGAGGGAGGATGGAGTAGGGGGTGGGACTGGGGGAAGGGCAAAGGTTGAATGCAATCCGCTCACCACTCTCTGCTTCGCCCGCACATCCTCTCCTGCCCCTCCCCCCCACCCCATGCTCCATTTCCCTTACCTCCCCTCTCACCCTGCCCGTGTCCTACCAGCACGTGCCAGCCTCATCCATCTCCCTCCCCCATCCTCCTCCCAATCCCCTGATCCATCCCCCCCCCCTCCCCCCCCCCCCCCTTCCCTCTCGGTCCACCCCCACACCCCATGCTCCACGCTCCCCCGCCAACCCCCAGCATGGCAGTGTCCTACCAGGACATGCCAGCCTCGTCCATCAACCCTGACTGCCTGGACGAGTTCGACCAATGCGAGGCCGACAGGTGGCACCTCCCGCCGTCCGCGTCCAGGTCATCTTTTTCCGACGATGAAAACCTGCCCACAGCCCTGTCCCACCAGCTCTCCCGGCACAGCAGCCGCAATGCTGCCTCGCATTCCTCCTCGCCTCCCACCTCTCTCCCCCTTCCCACCGCTCCCCCCACACTCCCCACTCTCCCCACCCTCCCCACTCTCCCCATTCTCCCCACGTTCCCCTCTCTCTATACCTCCTCCCCTCTCGCCACCATCGTTTCTTCTGGCGAGCCTCCCTCTCAGCCTGTTTCACCCTCCTCCACCGCCCTCTCCCCGCTGCTTCCCCCTGCCTCCGCCCCCCCCAAAGCACTGCCCCATGCCACTGTGCCTGCTGAGAAAGCGGGGGCAAAGGGCGAGGGGCTAGGGATTAGGGGGGGAGGCGACAAGGAGGCAGATGAAGGAAAGGGAGAGTGGGAGGGGGAAGGGGAGGGGGAGGGAGAAGAGGAGGGAGAGGAGGAGGAGGAGGAGGAGGGGGAGGAGGAGGGGCTATTGGCAATGGAGCCGATTCTGTTTGTGCGAGTGGTGCAGGCGCGCTCACTGCTAGGCCTCGATCTCAATGCCTCCAGTGACCCTGTGAGTAAGCTGCTTGATGCGATCGGATATGATACGATCTGATATGATACGATTTAGTACTGCACCACTGCATGCATCTGCGATCCGAACTTTTCTCAGTGCCTCCGCTCCAATCCGTCTTCATTTCCTCTTACTCTCGCTCTTCACCCTTGCGCCGCAATCCCCCTCTCACCCTTCTCAGTCGGCCTTTGCATCTCCCTCTCACCACCCACTCTCTCGTCCCTCCCCCTCCCTGTGCGTGTGCATGCCAGTTCGCCATGGTCACGGTGGGCAAGGTCACGGCACGCACGCGCACCGTACCAGATGATGTCAACCCCAAGTGGAACCAGGTCACCATCTCTTCACTCTCTCCTGCCTCTCTCACCCTCCCCTGGCCTCCTCAAAAACGGTCTCACCCGCATGGGGAAAGCCCGCACGGGAAGGCCCCGTGATGTCATTTGCGCTGCTGCAGAAAGCCCGCACGGGAAAGCCCGTAGCAGAAAGCCCGCAGCAGCGCAAATGACATCAACCCCAAGTGGAACCAGCTCTTCGCTCTTTGCCACTGCTCCCCCTTCCTGCATCTCCATATGCCTCCCCCAACTCCTTGCACCTCTCCCCATTCACCCGCTACGTCCTTCCCGGCTCCTTTCCTCCCTGCAGGTCTTTGCCATCGGCCAGTCCGCCACGACCTTCTCTCTCGCCAATCCCTCCTCTGTGCTTGAGATTGTGCTCAAGAACGAGGTGTGTGTGTGTGTGTGTGTGTGTGTGTGTGTGTGTGTGTGTGTGTGTGTGTGTGTGTGTGTGTGTGTGTGTGTGACTGCTTAAACAAGGAGAGTGTGTGTGTGTGCGTGCCCTAGAGCAAGAAGACTGCACATGTGCAAATGAGCGAGCTTCACACCCCTGGAATTATCACTATGCAACCACTCTCTCTCTCTTCGCACTTACAATCCTCTCATGCACCCGTTTCAAACCTTTGCCTGTATTCCCCCACCGCTCTCCCACTCCTTCCCATCCATCTCCTCTCCGCTCCTCTTTTCCCCCTTTTTCCCTCCACTCCCACCCCTTCTACCCCATCGCCCATCAATCAGAACCGTCTCATGCGGGACTCCTTCTTGGGAGCCATCTCGCTGCCAGTTACCTCTCTCCCACACCGCGTTCCCCCTGCGCCCCCTGTTGACCCGCGCTGGATTCGCCTCGACAAGAAAGCTGCCAGCGCCCCTGCCAGCGCTGCTCGCAGCACCGTCAAAGGTAGGGCTGCTGATGTGTGCTAATCTAGTGCAAATCATAACCGCTAGTGCATGCTGCTGGTCCCTTTCACAATTCACACCCGTCCCTCCATGCTCCTCTATCCCATCCCTCCATCTCATTCCTCCCTTCACAATCCCTCCCACCCCACTTCCCCATGCATTCCCTCTCGTCACAAACTCTTCCCCCCTCTCCCTCCCCTCGTCTCCCCGTCCTCGACCCCAGGCAAAGCTCAGGTGGAAGTGACCACAGGCACTCACAGCGTTCAGCTCGCGTCCGCTTCTTCTTCACACTCAACCCCTCTGCCTCCCTTGTCCTCCAACCATCCCACCCCACCCCACCCCTGCCTTGCAGGCGAGCTGCAAGTGGCGGTGTGGATAGGAGTGAGGGCGGACGAGCAGTTTGCAGAGGCCTGGCAGTCGGACGTGAAGGGTGTGGCGCACCACCGCTCGCGCACCTACCCCTCTCCACGCCTCTGGTACCTGCGCGTACACCCCTGCAAGCTGGAGCACCTCCCTGTGCCGCGTGTTGCACCCAACCTTGTGAGTTCTGAGACGTCTAAAAGGCCACGCCTCTGGTATGCCTCTGGTACCCCTCTCCACACCTCTGGTGTGCTTTTAGTACCCCTCTCCACGCCTCTCCCTCTGTTTTTCCTCTCAAGCTGATATGCCTCATCTAACAGCTTGTGCCCGCATGTGCTCTCATGTGCTCCCTCTGTGCTCTCATCTCATGTGATGGTCACTCTCTGGATCAGAGCCTATGTCGTTCCAATCCCCTTCTTTCCCCCACCCATCATCCCTGCTCCCTCCCACCAATCAGGTGGTGCGGCTACGAGTGCCCTGCGGCATGCAGGTGCAGACAGGCCCCGCCACCCACCGCACTCCATCGCTGCCCGGCGAAAGCGATGCGGGCGGCGGGGTGAGCAACCGCAAAGCGAGCGGCTGTAGCGTCGATGAGGATGAGGATGACGAGGGGGAAGAGGGGGAAGAGGGCGATGAGGGTGAGGAGGGGAGGCGGGAGGAGGAGGGGGGAGTGGGTGGAGATGAGGGTAGCGGTGGTGGGGGGAAGGAGGAGAGGAGCAGTCCACCCAAGGGAACAGCGGCGGGTGCGATAGCTAGCCCACGCACAGGCACTGGCATTCCTGCTGTCACGGGCACAGGGACAGACGTGCCGGCCAGCCCACGAACAGGCACAGGCACGGGCACAGGCACGGGCTCAAGCACGGGCTCAAGCACGGGCGCAGGCTCGGGCACAAGCGAAGAGGCAAGTTCAGGTGGCCTGAGGCAGCGGCTTGGGCAGCGGTTGCAGAACAGGCAGGTCAACGTGAGCAACGCCATGGGCAATGTGAGCAACGCCATGGGCAACGTGAGCAACGCCATGGGCAATGTGAGCAACGCCATGGGCAACGTGAGCAACGCCATGGGCAACGTGAGCAACGCCATGGGCAACGTGAGCAACGCCATGGGCAACGTGAGCAACGCCATGGGCAATGTGAGCAGCGCTATTGGCAACGTGGGCAGTGCTATGGGCAGCATGCGGAGCCTTGGGGGCAGCCTGCGCAACATAGGCGGCAGCATGCGCATGCCCCCCGTCTTCCCCCTCTGCAGGGCCGCAGCAGATGCGGCCAAGACAGGCGCAGGGCAGGGCGCAGAGCACGGGACAGGGCAAGGCCCAGGGGAGAGGACAGGTGCAGATGGGGGTGCAGGAGGGGAGGAGGGGCGGGAGGAGGGCGTGTGGGTGTGGGGCGAGGGCGATGAGCAGGTGCTGGTGGTGGCAGAGCCGCTGAATGGGCACCTGCACGTGCAGATCGTGAATGTCATCTCTCCCTCCTGGGTAAGTTGTGAGCCCACTGTCCACCCATCAAGGTCAGAGCAGCTCAAAGGTCACCTGCAAGGGCAAGGGCAGATTGCCCCTGCCACCTCACCTTGTTGAGAGAAACCACACCAGTTGTGAGAAAAACAGGCTGATCACCCTGTTCTTCTCCCACGCACCCTTTCGTCTCCCCCTACTCACCACATTCCTCCTCAGAACCCCTCAACACCCCGCCTCACCCCCCCACACCCCTCCCTGCACGTCCCCGCGGCAGGAGGAGGTGGTGGCATCAGCAGGCGTGCTCATCTCCTCCATCCCCGCCCGCATCACCCTCGACCCCCTCGAACCCATCTCCATCGCTCTCCAAACCACCGCCTCTGCCACTCCTGCAGCCATCACCACTGCAAACCGCACCTCCTCTTACGACTCCCTCGAATCCCCCTCTAAACCATCCCCAGCCCCCACTATCGCATCCTCCCTCTCCACCTCCTCCCTATTCCACTCCTCCTCCCCTCCCTCCTCCTCGTCCTCCCCCACCCCCCCTCCTCTCCCTCCTCCTCGCCCTGGAAGGCGGCCACCACGTATTCACCCAACACCCTCGCTTCCATTCCTCCCCGCTCCCCGCCGCCCGCTCCCTCTACCCGCTGCCCATCGCGCGCCTCGAGATCGGGATCATATCCGCGAAGAATCTGCAGCGGCCAGTGCCGAGCTCGCTGGGGAGTGCGGGGATGGATGTGTACGTGGTGGTGCGGTATGGCGGCATGTGGGCGCGCACCAGGACTTTCAGCGGGGAGGTCAACCCTGTGTGGCGTGAGCAGTTTAACTGGCCTGTTTATGACCTCTGCACCGTTGTCACCATCGGTGTGTTTGAAAACAAGTAAGTGTGTGTGTGCCCACGATGTGCCATCACTGCTCCCTCCCCTTCCCCTCATGCCGTGTCTTGCAATCCAGAAACCCCACTTCTTCCCGTTCTCCACTTCCCCATCTCACGCACAACCACTCATATTTCCCTCTTCCCCGTCTCATCTGCCCATCCCCCATCCCCTACTTCCCCCACCGCACCCACCCCCCACCAGGCACAACAGGGGAGTGACCACGTCAACAGACACCCCTCTGGGCCGCATACGCATGCGCCTCAGCGCCATCGACTCCACGCGCGCCCTCTCCTCGCACCAGCCGCTGCTGTGCCTCACCAAGAAGGGCGTGAAGCAGCTGGGCCAACTGCACCTCGCGCTGCGCCTCTCCCCCGCCATCCCCCTCTCCCGCCTCGCCGCCACCTACATCCGCCCCACGCTCCCCCCTGCGCATTACCACTTCCCCATCCCCGAATCCCAAGAACCAGCACTCTTACAGGAGGCTGTGGGCCTGCTGTGTGCGCAGCTGGGAGCATTCGACCCGCCGCTGCGAGCCGAGGTGGTGCAGTACATGGAGGAGTGCGATGAGGACGTGCTGTCAGTGCGGCGACTTAAAGCCAACCTGCAGCGGATCAAAATGCTGCGGGCGCGGTTCTCTGCCATGGCTGCTGGGTTCAAGGCCGTGCGGTCGTGGGAGAGCCTTCCTCTCACGCTCGCTGTGCACGTGGCGTACGCTTTCGCACTGTTCTACCCGTCCTTCATCCTCCCCACGCTCTTCTTTCTCCTTGCCTGGCAACTGCTCGCCTCCTCCCCCACTCGCCCCCTCGGCCCGCCTCTGATGGATCTGAAGCTTTCGCAGGGGGAGGGTAGGGAAGGAGTAGCGGAGATAGGAGGGGAGGAGGGGGATGATGGGGATGAGGAGGACGAGGAGCAGGAGAAAGGTGGTTCGGGTCCGGTGGCGTACTATAAGGTATGAGCTGGGCATGGGAGGATGCGGTCGTGAGATACTCTTTTATCTCATTTGTACCGCCATCATGGTTCATCAAACCCATTGCAATCTTCCGTTTCTCCCTCACCCTTCCTTCCCTCTTTCCCCTTCCTCCTCCCCCGCTCTGCCCTGCTCTGCCCTCCTCTGCTCTGCTCTGCTCTGCTCTGCTCTGCGCTGCTCTGCCCGCCACAGGCCCTGAGGGCCAAGTACGACAAGCTCATGGACGGTGCAGGGAGGGTGCAACGGGGCCTTGGGGTCATTGCTGACGCAGCAGAGAAGATAGAGATGCTGCTGACGTGGCGAGATCCAAGGTGAGGTCTAACCAATGCCTTCTCCCTCATCATTCCTCGCACCATGTCCCATAAATTTCAGACTCCTCACTTCCTGTCTCTTTCCCTTTCCAGATATCACGCACCCACTGTCCCTTAATGCCACACCGCTGTTCTGCACTCTCTCCCTCATTACCCCTCCACCCTCACCCCCACCACAAGTCTTCCCCTCCCTTCGCCTCAGGGCCACACTCCTGCTCATGTCACCATGCGCAGCGCTCATGCTGCTGCTGCTCTTTTGAGCCTCCGTGATGCCCCTCTCTGTTCATCCCACCCAAACCACCCCTGCTCCCTTTCCCAACCCCTCAGAGCCACGTTCCTGCTCATGTCAGCGTGCACGGCGCTCATGGCTGTGCTGCTGCTGCTGCCCTTCCGCCCCGTGGCGCTAGCAGCGGGCTTCTGGGCGATGAGACACCCGCGCCTGCGCCGCATCACGCCCACCAAGGTCAAATGCTTCCTCGCTCGCCTGCCCACGCGCGCCGACACCATTTACTGACGACTTCTGAGGCACCTCAAAGGGCGGACTTCTGGCACTCAGGCACCCGCAGCTGCGCCGCTCACCAAGCTCAAGTCCTTCCTTGCTCGCCAAGCTCAAGTCCTTCCTTGCCCGTCTGCCTACCTGCACCAACACCTGAGCATGTGAGCAAGGTGTGGTGTGTTTGGGTGTGCGTGTCAGTGCACTGCTGCAACTGCTGCTGTCAGTATGTGTTTGAAGGGAGTTGGTGTGTTACAGTGCAATGTGAGTGGTGATAGTGTTGCCTGGGTAGAGGGGTCATGGGCTGCAATGTGTTTGTACGAAAAGCACTCAGTGCAAGCAACACTCAAGTGGCATGCCAACAGCTTTCAAGCTGAAGCGCCATATCTTCTGTTACAACACTAATTATCTAATCACATGGTATGTACAAGTATAACATACAGGTATGTACGGTATATATCTGCCTCGGAGCCAACTACCACCAAGACCAAGAAACATCCTCTCAACCTCAACACCTCTTCACTCAGCCACCAATCCTGGCCTTGCAGTCGCTGTCTGTAGTGCCTGTCCCTGCCTGCCCCACATGCTCCATGCCACCACTGCCCACACCAGTCACACTTGCGGCACCCACGCCTCCCTTTGCCATCCTCTCCTGCCCGTCCAGCTGGCACTCCTTGAGCTGTGTCTCGTACCCCATCCCCCTTTTAAACTGCTGCGCTAAGCGATCCACAGCGAGCTCAGGGCCTGTAAGGTCAGCTCGCAGCTGCCGCCTCTCCTCCAGCTGCACCCCATACCGCTGCTCAACCGCTGCAGCCAGGGAGGAGGGGAAAATGAGAGCGAGAGAGATGGCAGAGGGCAGAGAGAACAGAAGACAGGGAGTGCGCACGAGTGGAGTGAGGGAATGGTAGAAATTTGAGAGTTCGCTAGAAGGGAAGGGTGAATGACGGCTAGCATCAGTGGCAAGCACGGGCCTACTTCATAACAAACCAGCAGCACACCTTTAGGCAGTTCGGGTTTCAGCTGCCCGTCAGCAAAGAACGCCCCCATGAGCTGCGGCACACCCAGCGGCAGTGTGTCTCCCCTATCAAACTGCCAGAAGTGCCACGTCTTGCCAAACGTCTTCACGAGCTTGCTCATCACAGGCAGCTCTGCTACTGCCGGCATGCCCGGCATGATGAGCAGCCCGCTTTTGACCTCATACTCATGCGAGTGCCACATGCGCTGCTCGTCCTCAGGCAAAGACAGGAAGATCTTTTCTGAGACGATGAACTCGACACCGATGAGGCGCGCGGAGGGCTGGTCGGAGTCGTAGACGAGGCACTGGTGCACGTCCTCGCTGACGTGCGAGCAGTAGTGGTGCGCCTCGACTTGTCGCGACATGTCGTTGGCATAATAGTGGAACCTGGTGGGGTGGACGGTAGGGGGACAACGAAGAACAGTACACGGATAGGCTGTTTGCATGGTTGCATGAGGGGGGCTGATCAAGGAGTCGTAGAGGAGGCACTGGTGCACGCCCTCTGACGTGCGAGCAGTAGAGGTGCGCCTCGACTTGTCGCGACATGTCATTCGCGTAGTAGTGGAACATGGCGGGGGGTGGTAGGCGGGAATGGGCAACAGTGCATCATTAGGCTGTTCGTATAATCGCATGGTGGCCACAGCTCATCCCAAACTCATCTCAAAGACAGCAACGCAAGTAGTCGGACGAGATTGATGGTTCTGCAAGGAGACTCGAGCGTGTACTATCCGAGCAAGCAAAGGGGCCAAATATTTTTTCTAAACCTTGAAGGTTACGCAGCCAAGACCGGTTTAGGGTCCTTTAGGGTAATCTAGAGCACTGACGCGCAGAGGTGTTGGCCGATCTGGCGGATGGGGCCGAACTGCTGCACGGCGCTCGCGCCCATCTCCATCACCCTCGTCGTCACGCTCTTCGCCCCGCCGGGGACGTCCGAGAACTCTGAGCCCGCCTCCCCACCCGTCGATAACGGCTTGTGCGCCGCCATGATGACGTTGCAATGCGCTCGCGAGAGCGATTTGGATAGCACGGCGCGGAAAGTAGCGCAGAATGGCGTTGACGGACAGGACGGACAGGAAAACACAGCGTCGCACGCTTGCGAAGGAAGCTGATCACTATATGCAGCAGGTCGAGGAGTCAAGAACCTGATCTCCCTCCCGGGGAGGTAGATCGGGAGATGGTTCACGGCTTACCCCGAAAGAGCTGCTCCAGCAGCGTGCGAGCGGAAGCGCCCGCAGAATGGCGTGCATGCATGTGAGAATGTGACGTTGGATGTGCACGTGGTGGGGATTGGGTTGGTGGGATGGTTGGAGGCGAAATGTGGGTGGACATATGATCACATGAGGGACGAGGTGTGTGTACGAGGGGGAGGGGCCAAAATGCCCGTTTACAATTACATGACGACATTTGTGAATTGGCGAGCCGCGAATCGCGATGCGTGGGATCATAATCCGCGAGTTGGCGTCGAGGTTCAACGTATATGCACTTGCAAATAAAGCAGCACACACTACAAATACAATTTATACAATATGAGCGCCAGTTCCAGAATACCATCACATTAAAGCAATGCTATCTGCGACCTCCAGAATCTCCCAACAGCAGCATGCTGTCCGATTCGGAAGCTGCCTCAGATTTAACTCCACCTTGTTGCTCTTGGCTTGCATTCGCTCCACCTCCAGACAGCCCATCTTGGTGCGCAAGCAGCCCATCACTAGGCAACGATCCCACCAAGACAGGAGGCGACTGTCCCTCACATGCCGAGAGCACCGCATCACCTGCACCTGCTCGCAGCGATCCATCAGACTTGCTGCTCCCCTTCTCCCTCCCCTCCTTCCCCAGCAGCAACCCATTCTCACTGTCAGCCACAGCACCATCCCCATCAACCCCATCCCACACACCAGCCCCACCGTCCTCCTTCCCCATCCCTCCCTTGCCTGCCGCCCCATCAAACCCGCCCTCGCCCTCACTGCCGTCATCCTCGTCCATGAGAGCCACGTCTGGCAGGCCCGGGTCCTGAGTGAACTTGAGCACGCCGTGGTGCTTCGCCCACATGAGCAGCGGGTACATCAGCAGCCCCACCACAGCTGCTATGGAGCTGGCAGGAGGATGGGGCAGGGGGGCGGCAAGGTGCATGGAGGAGTAAGCAAGAAGGGGTGGGTAAGATTTTCGGATTGAAGGTCCCATCATGAGCAGCGGGAGCAGCAGACCCAGCAAGGCTGCTATGGAGCTGCCAGGGGCATGAGATGGGACACGGGACGGAAAGATGCATGGAGAAGCAGACAATGGTGGGATGGAAGCTCCGGGAGTCAGATCAGGGGGGGGGGCGGGGTTGGAGGTGTGCGAGAGAGCGTGTGTCGGGACGGATGGGGGTGGGCAGGTAACAAGGGAGGATGTGCTCCGGGAGTGGGATCAAGAGGAGGTTGCGGCAGCGCGAGAGAGTGCGTGTCGGGACGGTGGGTTGGGCAGCTAGCAATGGCGAATCCACACCTCTCGATGAGGAACATCACATATCTCCCACCTCACGCCTCATGCCTCAACATCTCACACCTCCCACCTCCCACATCCCAGCCTACACCCCACACATTCCATCCCACGCCCCACACCTGACGCTCCACACTGCAAATCTCACCTGACAATGACGGCCTGCCAGGACGCGAGGGCCATGACGAGAAGAGTGCTGCTCCCATGCGTGTTCCGATTTGACTCGTAACACACCTCACACCCACACCCACACCGACACCGCAAACCTCACCTGACAATGACTGTCTGCCAGGACGCGAGGGCCATGACGAGAACGAGCAGCAGGGAGGGCGGCAGGCACAGCAGCGCTGCTCCCATGGTGTCCACGGGGACCCTGTGGGGTGAGAGGCAGCGCACGGGAGAGAGAAGCAGTGAGAGGGCGAAGCAGCGGTGGCCATTCGTGGTCAGGGAGGAGCGAGCATGGAAGAAAAAAAAACGTGAAGGGAAACGTGGGAGACACGAATCGCAGCCAAATCCAAATTTAGACCACATCTGGATGACCAGGGGAAGAGAAAAACACTGGGGACGTGTTGTGAAAGCACGGCTGATTGGAGCAATGTGGATGGTTGAGAGCGCACGAGTGCATACCTGTACGGCCGGTTCAGGTCAGGCTGCGTGACCCGGAGCGCCACAAAGGCGGCAAACTCAAGCAGCATGCCGAAGCAGTAGAGGAAGTTGAGGAACTCGACGATCTCCTGAAAGCTCATCCACGACAGCAGCACGATGCCCGTGGCGCTGCACACGATGCCCAGCACGGGCGTGCCGTGCCGCGACCGGTACGTGAAGACCTCGGGCAGCAGGCCTCGCTCCGCCATCCCCAGCAGCTGAAACGCGTCGCTGCGTGGGGGGAGGGGGGGGGGAGGGGGGAGGGAGGGGGGGAGGGAGGGACAGAGGGAGGGCGGAGGGGGGGAGGGGGGGAGGTAAGTGAAGTCCTCGGGCAGCATGCCCCGCTCCGCCATTCCCAGCAGCTGAAACGCATCGCTGCGAGTGTGCGTCGAGGGAGGGAGGGAGGGAGGGTGGGTGGGAGAGTATGGGCAAGTAGTGCTGTATACATGCAGTTGCGAGAAAGAGGGAGTGGCATGGGAGATGAGCAATCGAGATGAGGGTGGTGGGATAAGAGAGTGCAGAACTACTGGTGCCATATGGAAAGTCCACCCACTCATGTCCACCTCAAACGTGCTCATGCGGGAAAGCCCAGCCGCACACACAACCCACCAGACGAACCAGCCAGCCGGCCCCCCAGTGACATTTCAGTCAACTCAAGGATCAATTCCCGCCCCCGACGTGCACATCTCCCCCCCAAACGCACACACCTGCTCATCTCCGCCTCAAATGCGCCCATGTTGGACAGCGCAGCGGCACACGCAATCCACCAGGCGAGCCAGCCGCCCCCGATGACGCGACCCACCACGGCCAGATACCCGTCGTCCCAGCCGTCCGGGGAGAATGGCACGGCGCCTGTGCCTGCGAGCAGGGGCACGAGGTACGACACCACCACCAGCACCACCGCCCCCATCAGCGCCCGCGGGAAGGTGCGCTTCGGCTCCTCTATTTCGCCTGCTAGCGTGCTGTGCAGGGCAGGATGGGGAGGGAAGGGGGGAAAGGGGGAGGGGGTTGGGTGGGGGGTGTGCGGTGCGTTCACCCAGAATGACGCACAGTCAGCAGGAGAGGGTGGAGAGGATGCAGAAAGGAGGGTTGATGATGAGGAAGGTTGAAAGCAGCAAGGAAGACAGCCTGGGTGAAACAAGACAACAGCGACTCCCACCTGGCTGAGTGAGTCCACACCTGATGAAATTGCTTCTGAGACGACTCAAAAGCAACTCCAACATATATAGAGTCCCTACGGTAGAGAGTTCCAGCAGTTGAGAGAAGCTTTCTTGATGGAGCACCCACCTGACGGAGTCCCAGTAGTTGAGGTTCCAGAAGAGTGTGTTGAAGTACCCCCGCCACTGCACGCGGTTCAGATCCACCACCAGCCTGCAATGCCACCCATGCACGCACACCCATACACCCTCGCAAGCATCCCGCAAAACAGTGATCCAAGAATTATACGCAGGGCTGGGAAGTTCCTGCAACCTATGATGCTAAAGACGCTCGGAGGACGCTGCGTCCTGCGTCTGGACGCAGCGTCTGGACGCTAGGACGCAAGACGCGCGTCCAGACGCAGGACGCAGCCCGAAAATTTTTCGGGCTGCCCCGAAAATTTTTTTTTTCCCCGATTACGAATTTCAATCTCGCGATTTCGACGCGAGTGTCGAAATCGCGAAATTTTGACCCCACATTGGCCAATTCGACATTGAAAAACAGCCCCCCCCCCAACCAACATTTCATAACCCCCCATGCAAGAATTGAATTCCAAATACCTCTCAACCACTTCACATCTAGAAAACCCAACCAAGGTGCCTACCACCAAGCACATTTAGCAATTCAACCAAGTCATTTCTCATTTCACCCACCCAACCAATTCTCTTTCGAAAACCCTAGAGGTTTTAGCCTACAAGCATAGCGTAGCTCCATTATGGCTTCCTCAAGCAACCCTACGTCGTCTAACGCATCTAGGGCTGTTCTTGCCGAGGACGAGTCTCCCCCGCAGCGTTTCACTAGTGATGGGGTGGAGAAGAAACCGCAAAAGCCCAAACACCATATTTATAGGCATTTTTGGACATTCGAGGATCCGATGAAAAAGGGATTGCAGTGCGAGTGCCTTTGGTGCGAGAAAACGTTCGCCTTCAGTAGTAGCCGGTGCACTCAGCATCTCGCCGAATGGAACAACGCGAACGTGCGGCGCGATGGCGGTGTTGTTTGCGCCAAGGTTCCTAAGAGCATTTCAGACGCCATTCGCGGCGGGAAGGAGACAAAGATTACGGCGCGCAAGGATAAAGAGAGGGCTTTCGAGGCGGCGCTTACTGCGGTGAGCGGCCATGGCGGAGCGGAACCGAAGGCAAAGAAGGGGCGGATGGAGGATTGGTATGGCGAGGGGGGGAAGGCGGCGAAGCGTGCTGCCGACGATGCGATTTGCCTCTTCATCGCGGGGACGCGCTTGGGGGAGACTATATGCCAGCACCCCCTCTTCCTCAACATGCTGCGCGCCGTGAACGCCGCCGGAACCGGCTATGTCCCCCCCAAGCGTGGTTACGTTGGAGGCGCCGGGCTGCTGGCGTGCAAGCAGCAGATTGAGAAGGCGTTGACGCCCATTACGAAGACGTGGAAGGAGACTGGCATGACGATCGCAAGCGATATGATGAGGGACAAGAACGGGCGTGCGCAGATGAACATCCTCTGCATCAACGCCAGTGGAGCGGTTTTTCAGGAGGCGGTCGACTGCAAGGCGGAGACCAAAAGCGGGGCGTTTATCATGAGCGTCCTGCAGCCAGTCATCGAGAAGGTTGGACCGGAGCACGTCGACGCTATTTGCACGGACGGCGGCAGCAACTACGTGTCCGCCGCCAAGCTGCTGCAGAAGAAGTACCCGCACATTGAGTTTGTCCCCTGCGCCACTCATGTGCTCGACTTGCTGTTGGAGGACTTCGGCAGCATGGCTTGGGCGCAGGAGGTCGTGCCTGTGGCGACCGACATGATTTCGTTCATTCGCAGCCACACGTGGACGCGTGCCTTCCTCCGCTGTCCCGAGCTGCACGGGGAGGAGAAGTCGCTTCAGCCGCTGCGACCGGCGGGCACGCGCTTTGGGACGCAGTACATAGCGGTGTCTCGTCTGCGTGAGATTCGCCCTCAGCTGACGGCGATGGTGACGCACAAGGATTGGGAGGAGAAGGGGAGGAAGCAGCTAACTGGGAAAGACTTTGAGGCGTCGGTGTTGGATGTGGAGTGGTCGGCAAAGGTGGATACCTTCGTGAAGATAATGGCGCTGCCGTACAAGGTGATGAGGAAGACGGATGGGCCGGCGAAGGGGATGATGGGGGCAATGTACGACATGATGCTGCAGCTGACGGAGGACTTGTCGGCGCTGTTGGAGAGTGCGGATTGTCCGCTCAGCGATGCGGATAAGGAGGGGTTGCTGGAGCACTTGAGGCGGCGTTGGGACGAGAGTTTGGCCTGTCCTCTTCACGTGGTAGGCCGGATTCTGAACCCGGTCAACCAGGAGGAGGGGATCTATCTCAAGGACATTGAATGCACCAGGGTGATGAAGGCCTGGCTGTCGCGCTCGAGGGCCTTCGTTGACAAGTACTGGAAGAAGGATGGCGAGAGGACTGGAACGATGATGGCGCTGCAGGAGGGGATGCTGGTGTACATTGAGGGTAGGGGGTGCTTTGGGACGGAGGAGGCGATAGAGGGGCGTGCGCAGCTGAAGGAAGGGAAGGGGGACATGGCGACGTGGTGGAAGATGAACGGCTGGGAGTATGCAGATCTGACACGCCTTGCAATCCGTGCGGTGTCACAGGCCGTTTCCGCTTCTCCGTGCGAGCGGGGATGGGCTACGTGGGATGGGGTGCACACGGCGCGCAGGAACAGGTTGGGGTCGGAGAAGGTGCGCGACCTGGTGTTCGTGGCGCACAACTGGAAGGCTGTGCTCGGCCACCACGAGGGTGCAGTTGTTGCAGGGCCAAGTGGGGAAGTGAGGAGGGGGGGGGTAGTGGAGGGGAACATTCCCACCCCTCCCCTCCCCGAGGGGTACAGGTTGGAGGAGGATGGGGAGAGGGAGGTGGACGAGGACGACATGACGGTCGATGAGTACAAGGACCAGGATGAGAAGAAGGATAGCGAGGAGGACGGGGATGAGTGACTGGTTGCTTGCATGCAGTGCTGTGGTGGTAGTTTAGTAGTATGCATGTTCTTCAGTGATATGATAAACTGTGTATGTGACCTTGGGACATGTGTGTGACAATATGTGACTACATGACTCACCTTAATCTTGAGATTTGGGGGAAAATTTGATGTTGGGGCCAAGTTTGCCTTGAAAGTGTGGAACGTTCCCCCCCCCCCCCCCCCCTCATCCCATGCCCTATAACAAATTTTTTTGCCTGCCCGGGGTTTTTTTTTTGCCTGCCCGGGACTGCGTCTTTTGGTGCGTCTTTCTGGTCCTGGTGAAGCGTCCTGCGTCCGGACGCATGCGTCTGGACGCATGCGTCCAGGACGCGGGACGCGTCTTTCGCATCATAGCCTGCAACCTGCTGGTGGAGCAGCATGAGGAGTCGCGTGATCATTCCCACCACCCCTCCTATGCTCTTCTCCCCTTCCCTTCCCTCCCCTTCCCACCCCTCCCTTCTCCCCCCCTCTTCCCCCCACTCGCCTCCTGCCCTCCGCTGCCATCAACTGCCCTCCCATGACCTCACCCGCCCTTTCCTGCCATTCCCTTCCCCTCCTGTTCCCTCCCAACTAACCCTGCTGCCCAGCAACCAAGCCCCCTGCCCCCAATGACGGACCAGCGGGCGGGTTGGATCTTGGGGATGGCGAGCAGCGCCATGACCACGAAGGGCAGCACCACCTTCCTTACCATCCCCTCTCCTGCCCCCACCAGCCAACCCTGCAACTCACCAACCAACAACTCTCCCCCCCCTCTTCCCCCCCCAATGACGGACCAGCGGGCGGGTTGGATCTTGGGGATGGCGAGCAGCGCCATCACCACAAAGGGCAGCAGCCCGAACACTGCCAGCGCGATGGCAGTGGCGCCCACTATCGTCAGCCCGCGGTAGTTCACGTACGTCAGCACCTGGCAGGGCGGAAGGGGGACAGTCCCAGAGAGGAAGGATTGAGGAGGGCTCAAGTTTCAGAACGCCTCAAAGATCGCCTGGTACTTCACATAGTGAGCAGCTGAACTGGGGAAGGGGGTCAGAGAAATAGACTTGGGTCGCCTGCTGGGCTGGCGTCAAGAAACGGAGTGGTGACAAGGGAGTGATGCTCAAGCACCAGGGAGGGGAAATGGCGAGTAGACGCAGCATCAAGTCAAACCAGACCAAGACGCACCAGAGTCATGGCAAGCAGTGCCGCCATGCGAGGCAGGCCTCCGCCAAACACAGGGAGCTCGCGCTTCAAGTAGTCGAGGAAGAGCAGCGGGTAGAGCGAGTTGTCTATCACGCCACTCAGCCACTTCCACCACCCCTCCTGGAAGCCCCAGAAGGGGCCAAACGCCGCTGACACCCACACCACGTAGCCCCCGTTCTCCGGGAAGGCTGTTCCTAGCTCTGCGGTGGTCAGGGCCTCTGGCACGCTCCAGATCTGAAGGGTGTGCATGGGGGAAGTGGGAAATAGCGGAGCAGGGAATGGGGGGTGGCGGAGCGGGAAGGGGGAGGAGGGGAGGGGGAAGAAGGGGGGAGGAGAGGGAAGGGGGAATGGGGTGGATAGTGAGTAGTGAAGGGGTGATGGGAGGAAGGAAAGCGAATGGCAAGCGGTGAAGGAGGGTGGGTGATGGGAGTGAGTGGTGGTGGATTGGCGTCTGACATGGAACACTGCCCAAGGGGAGAAGTCAAATGGATGTGCTGTGAGGGGGTTGGTGCGAGATGCGTGCGTGGTTGGTGGAAATGAGAGATGAAAGTTGCGGAAGGTGGGGAGGGTGCGGAGGCGAGAGGCAGTGCGCACGAGGGGGAAGACGGTGAAGCCTAGGATGGCAAGCAGAGGCCCGCCGTACTTCACGGCGTCCTCCACGCCGTATGGCCCGCCGGACACCTGCACGCACGAACGGAAACGAGAAGACGGGAGAACAATATCAAGAAAAGGGGAGAAGAAGCAAAAGTAATGTAAGGAGTACAAATGAAGAGCTTTTGCCTTCGTCTGAACACGCATGAAATGCAAACCTAACCCAACCTAACCTCTCGTCCCATCAAATAAAAAATCGTGCCCTGCCATGGTGCTTAGCTGACCTCGAAGAAGATGAGCGCGATGAGCGGCAGCAGCGTCAGCTTCTGGCCGTGCGGCCCGTGAGTCTTCTCAAACTGCTCGTGCGCCGAATCCTGCCGCACACACGGACGCGCAATAACGCTCATCGGCTCAGTAACGGACGATTTTAACTAGGACAACCAAGTATTGCGATATTAGGTCGTCGATTGCGGCCTAGTAAAGGACTGTGCGGTCGGATTGCGGGACAAGATCGCGGGTACCTCATGCGAAAGCGGAGCTCCCTGCGTGAGGCGCTCCTTTTCCCCCGATAATTGCGACCCCATCGCTGGTTGCGCGCGGCACCGCGACGCCTGGCAGTGGAATAACAGGATTAGGATCGCCGAGCAACGTCACCGCGACTTCAGCCCATGCTTGAATTCGAATTTACCTTTCCCTTGCTGGAAACAGCGTCGCTAGAGCATGGGCCAATCAGTGGCGACGCTAACGACTCTACCATAGGAGAGCGGCTTCTTGCGCGTTGCCGCACAAACGGCGGAGATTCAGCGGTTATTACTGACACCAGGACGGGCCGCGGAGTCTCAGGGGACGAGGAGGCAGGGAACTGGTGCATTCGTGAAACTGGATGGCTCTGTGAGTGAGACTGGAGGAATAATCCAATCCCAAGGAGAACGCTTCGTCTGAAGTAATTTCCAGTTCCCCGAAGGTCGTCAAACCGCCATGGAGGGTCGGGTCAGGCAGAATCGAGGAAGTGCATTATGGGTGCTTGAAAAGTGTCGAGTGCATCTCAGCCGTCCGATGAAGAAGACGGCCAATCCCGAGTAGTGCGCGGAAAGGGGGCGCCGGGGACACACTGCGGAGAGCTTGCCGGGCTGTGTGATGAAATGAGCGCCGTGAAAGTGCGGCTGTACCGGCTTTTTGGACAGGTGGTAAGTTTTGATAGCACGAATTTCACATGGAGACCTCCAGCTCCATGGTTATCCGTTTGGAAGAACTCAATTACAAAACCAACTCGGCCATTATCTCCGATACTCAGATTTTGTCTGAGCGCGTTCTCAGGTGTAATCAACCTGGACTTTCTCAACGTTGATTGGTTGTCGCGGTATAATCACATTTCTCACGCTGGTTGAACTCATTGGGAAGTGACAAAAACGGAACCAGCTAGTTTACCCTCCCGACTTGGATACAAGTACGGAAATTTAGGTAGTAAGAGAATGAAGCCCATATAATTCACTTGGTAGTGCTCGGTAGCGCAACCGACCGCTAAACAACGCTACCGAAAGCACTAGACGACGCTACTGTCAGAATATTATTCTTATGTTCTAGCTTGTAGTGGGGTGCTCTATAGCGAGTACAACCCTTCTAGGGTTTGCTATTTGTATCCCCATTTCTGCTAGTTCATCACTCTTTCTTCCTTCTAATTTTGTCATGCTATCAGAGCAGGTCGATCCCCTTGGATCGATCCTGTGGGTGGGTTACCACCTCGCTTCCGCTGCTACTTTTTCCTCCCACCGTGCGCCCCGAGGCGCGCGGCGGTTTTCTGCCCGCCGTGCGCCCCGAGGCGCGCGGCGGTTTTCTGCCCGCCGTGCGCCCCGAGGCGCGCGGCGGTTCTATGCCCGCTGTGCGCCCCGAGGCGCGCGGCGGGCTTCTGCCCTGTCGGTCGCCGCGTCGCCTACTGGAGGCGTCGCGACGGGCGACGGGGACCCTTCGCGGCCCCGCCGCCGACCTATCGCGGCCCTGCCCTACGTCGCGGCCCCGCCCTGCGTCGCGGCCCCGCCCCTCGAAGCGGCCCCACCCTACGTCGCGGCCCCGCTCCGACCGTCGCGGCCCCGCCCCTCGACACGGCCCCGCCCTGCGTCGCGGCCCCACCCCTCGAAGCGGCCCCGCCCTACGTCGCGGCCCCGCCCCTCGTCGCTGCCCCGCCCCTTGTTGCGGCCCCGCCCTCCGACGCCGCCCTGGCCCCGTCTCCCTACCTGCGACTCTCTCAGGTCCGTGGTGGGCCCCCTTTCTCCCCTCCCCCCCATTTCCCGTCGTCCGTCGAGGCGACCTGAAGGGGCGAGCTGTGGGGTGGTGGGTATGGGGGTGGCCGGTGTACTTTCCTCCCTTTGCTCCTCCTCCTCCTTCGTCTCCCACTACTGCAGCTGTCGCTCAGGGGGGTGGTTGTGTGGGAGACTGGGGTTTAGGGTTTAAGGGGGGTGCGTGGGAGTAGAGCTAGCGGTGTAGCAGTGGGTGTGTATCAGGGGGGTGGGACTGTGTGCGGGAGGATGAGCGGAGGTTGCCAGTTTGTCGTCAGCAGCACCTGTAGTCCGGGGCGCTGTCCCGGTAGCCCAGTGAGCTAGACTTCTACGCCAGCCGCCTGTGGGTCCGTTGCCCGTCCGCCGCTATTTGAGCCGCGGGGCCTGTTACTCCTGTAGTCCGGGCGCTGTCCGGTAGCCGCTGTGCCAGTCTGCCTCCTGCTGCCCATGTGTCTGCAGCTTCAGCCGTCGCCTCCTATCTCCTCTCCCCTCACTCTCCCTCCTCCTCCTCACTTGCCCGTTGTGACTACCACTAGCTTTGCTTATAATTGTGAACTCTGAACTATTTCTTCTTGAGCTTGTGCTCAGAATGTGTGGTGACATTGTGATCCACCCTGAGCTTGTATTGCTTTGCCTGCTCTGCTGATTACACCCCACTTTGGCTATGGGGGTGTGTCAGAATATTATTCTTATGTTCTAGCCTGTAGTGGGGTGCTCTATAGCGAGTACAACCCTTATAGGGTTTGCTATTTGTATCCCCATTTCTGCTAGTTCATCACTCTTTCTTCCTTCTAACTTCGTCAGCTACCCAGAACTATTCGGGCATGGCAGAAAACAAATAAAACCCCTCGGGAACCTGGATGCATTTTCGAAAGGAGTCAACCCTAAACAAGGAAATGGGAATTGTTTTTAGGGATGATGCCTCCCGAGTCGCATCCCCTTCCGATTGGGTTTTTTTTTTCTGTAAAGTGGCTTGCAATATGTGTTACGATATGAAGTTTATGAGAAGACATTCCTGTATGCTGCAGGAGCCGACTCTGCCGAGTACGAAGTCGAGGAGTCAGAAGATTCGAGGCGACGCAGCAACCGTCTAACCAAGACCGATGCAGGCAGAAACATTTGAAGTGAAAAGAGCGGGAACATGTTCAAAACAGGTTCCCGCGCCGCACGGTTTGAAATTGTTGTAATAAGGGAATGCCCCCTTAGAGTACATGGCTAGTCTAGGTCTTTTCGTATTCCCCTGCATTCTTATATAAACTCGATGTATGCATGTTATTATCAACTCAGTCATTTACATTCACTCCGACTTGAGATTCAAACTTCCGCTGCAACACTACCCTGCGATCAACCCTAAACGATCCTTTGCTAAGTCCCACTTGGGATTGTAACATGGTATGAGAGCCACTCAGGGATTCTTCGCAACTTCATTTCCGTGAAATTCGCCGAACCAAGATCTGGCGAACGGCACCCGCTCCAAGACCAAGATGGCCGGAGGATTCGGAAGCCAAGCAAATCCGACGGCTGAAGGACAAACCAACCCGGCTGCGACAAATGAGGCGACAACCACGATTGGCACTGCCGCTCTCGAGCAACTTTTCGCTCAACTTTCAACTATGGAGAAAGAACTCCAAGACCTGCACAAAGGCGATGCGGGAACCTCTTCCCAACCAGTACAACCTGGACAATCGGCTGAGAAAAGCCATGATACCGCCGCGCATACCTTCTCCCTCGACACAGACAAATCAACAACAAGTGCCCCCCGTCCAAGTGATAAAGCTATCAACTCTGCGCAAACACGCTTCCTTAGCGTTTCAAAAATTAAAACTATTGCCGCGTTTGACGGTAAAGACTTCTACACATGGAGTTTCGAGCTTGAGCTCCTCCTACAAATGGCGCAGATCTACCATTACTTCAACAGCTCCTACCCTAAACCAGTGGAAAACACCGAAGTCTCAAGAGCTCAGTACTACAGCGAGTCTCTCATCGCCTACAGCGTGCTGCTACGCAACATGACGCCTGCGGAACAACTCAACATTCGCTCCTACAAAGAGAGCGACGCTCCAGCCTTGGAAGCTTGGAAGCACCTCGTTGAAGTTTACCAGCCGAAGGATTTGACGAGAAGTGAGAATGGAGGAACTATGAAACAGTTGGGTACAAGTACTAACCCTAATTGGGTTGTACCCCTTATGGGCTACCCCACTACAGCCTACACAAATGTATAAGCTATAATGTTCTGACACACCCCCATAGGCAAAGTGGGGGAGAACAAGTGGTCACAAGACCAGTCAAGCAAAGCAAAGCAAGCTCAGGGTGGATCACAAAGTCACCACACAGTCCAAGCACAAGAGTAAGGCCACAAGGCCAGTTTACATGCAAGGTCATATATATAAAGGTAAAACAAGCAAGGGCAGGTATGGAAAGAAGTGTCAGAATGTTATAGCTTACTTATTTGTGTAGGCTATAGTGGGGTATCCCATAGGGGGTACAACCCAACTAGGGTTTCCTATTTGTACTCACTCCATTCATAGTCATTTCATTCTCGTTCTAACTTTCTCATGGTATCGAGCAGGTTCCCCCGTGGGAACTTTGCTTAGGGCCCACCACATCGAACCTTTTTTTTTTCTGCCCGGAGCGCGCTCCGGGCCCTTGCTCTTACTTTTTTTTCGATCTGCCCTATCGGCCCGAGCGCCGCCTTAGCGAGCCGCCCGCCCTAGCAGCCCGAGCGCCGCCTTAGCGCCCGCGCCCCGCTGCCCGCCCTCGCGCCGCCTTAGCGGCCTCGCCGCCCTGCTCTCGCGGCCCTCGCCGCCCTTCCTCACGCGGCTCCGCCGCCCCTGATCTCGCGGCCCCGTCGCCCCTATTCTCGCGGCCCCGCTGACCCTAAAAGCGCGGCCCTCGCCGCCCCTGATCTCGCGGCCCCGCCGCCCAAGCGCTCGCGGCCCCGCCGTCCCTGATCTCACGGCCCCGCCGCGTCAGCGCTCAAGGCCCCGCCGCGTCAGCGCTCAAGGCCCCGCCGCCCCTGATCTCGCGGCCCCGCCGCCCCAGCGCTTCCGGCCCCGCTGCCCCTGATACGCGGCCCCGTCGCCTCGGCGCTCCCGGCCCCGCCGCCCCTGATACGCGGCCCTGCCGCCCCAGCGTTCCCGGCCCCGCCGCCCCTGATCTCACGGCCCCGCCGTCCCTGGTCTCGCGGCCCCGCCGCCCCAGCGCTCACGGCCCCGCCGCCCCTGATCTCGCGGCCCCGCCGCCCCAAGCGCTCCCGGCCCCGCCGCCCCTACTACGCGGCCCCGCCGCCCCTGGTCTCGCGGCCCCGCCGCCCCAGCACTCACGGCCCCGCCGCCCCT